TCAGATTTGATCCATAATCTCCAGGGGTGTATACCCATCAGACAAGTGTCGTTTTTTTTTCGGAAAAAAAACTATCCTGTGTTTTTTTCCAGTTATTTTCGAACATTCAGATAAACCCACTAAAAATACAACATTTCTGTCCATTGCTATTTTTTCGTATCTTGCTTCGTTTTCGAGAAAAAAGAACAAGACACCACCGTATATCTCTGAACTCCATGAGAAAAAATGAAAATGCCTAGATATTATACAAAAATTCATTGCACATTATTGTTTATGAGAACAAAAAAGACATAAAATTCAATACCCTCTAAAATGTATTTGATTTTATGAGAAATGTTTTTTCAAGGTATGAAAAACTAATTTTTTCAAACTTGGACACCCCATATTTCGGAAACGGAGTTTCAAATGTGTTATCATGGCGACGGTATTTTATCGCAGTGCAATTATCGCTGTAATTTCTCGATAACTGCATTGCTCTCATGAGACACCTTTTATGTATATCACGGTATATGACGTCACACGTTTTCCCGCGTTTTTCATGTTATCAAATATCGTGAATTTAAATGATTTTCAAAAAATGTGCAGAGTTCTGAGGAAAAACAGGTTTACGACAGTATACTATATTTCAGGTTATTAGATCAAGATAATCAAATCAAATGTTTCACTGCGTTAGGTACCTATTTATCAAATCTGGCATTATATTTGAAAAAAAAAATTTCTACGGCTATAACACAAAACTGCTCTTGTTTTACAGTGTTCGATACATCAATGAGGTACTTTGTATGTCTTCAATTTTATTCCCGTATCTGACATCACAATGACTAAATTGTGTTATCATTTCAAAAAAATCTCATTGCTCATGGAATGTCAAATTGCAAACAGTGACAGCTCTGTCTAATAGAAATCGAAAATGGCGCTCGAATGATTGCCAGCATTCGCCTATGGCTCATACTGCAAACTTCATTCTCGTAGGCAATCACTATCATTCCGTGCTCGTTAAACAATATACTATTTTTTATCACATATCTATTACTATATACCAACGTTTTTCCATTTTTTATAAGAATATCATTCTTTATATAAATTAGCTTCACTCGTGAGACATTTTGACCTCTCTAATCTATTCCAAAAATTGATTAAAAAAGCAAAACGGGAATTTCTTTATCTCTTTTCGTAACAATTTGGTCAAATATTCTTCGATAAGATTGTTTATATTTCTGTGAAAAAAAGACTTCCAACGCACTGATTGAATTGGAAGGATAGATAAATATATTCCAATTCATTGTTTTTGAATGCATTTCAGATAATTATAATGTAAACATCCTGATTCTATCAGTGAAATTGCAATGCTGTTTCAAAATTTGTTACTCTCACACGAAATGCATCGAAAGCTTATTTTCTATCGTGTTTTTCAAGTAAAATAAGACCATTATCGATATTTCAGCAACGCTTCACCAGAAATGGATTCATTTCTTCTCAATATTGGAGGCTGTATACCAACCGATCTGTGAAACCTCAAATGCTACTTTTACCACCTTTTGAATTTTTGATTCCGTATCCCTAATCTTGAGTTTTCAATAATTTTGTTGCAATCTAGTGGTAACTGTTTTCGGAAGACCTCCCTGAGTCTATGAATATGTTGATTTTTGATCACCGTTTGAAGCAGAATGAACTATGCAATATATTTGCATTGAAACCACATAATTATGTTACTTTTACCACCTTTCGAATTTTTGATTCCGTATCCCTAATCTTGAGTTTTCAATATTTTTATTGCAATCTAGTGGCAACTGTGTTCCGAAGACCTCCCTGAGTCAATGAATATGTTGATTTTCCCACCGTTTGAAGAAGAATGAACTATGCAATAGATTTGCATTGAAACCTCAAATGTTACTTATACCATCTTCTGAATTTTTGATTCCGTATCCCTAATCTTGAGTGTTCAATAATTTCTCTGCAATCTAGTGGCGAACATATTTTTTGAATTCAGCTACTCGTACAGAAACTATCTGTCTTTTATTTTCGCCATGTACCTATCACATGATCTTCCCATTTGGAATAATAAAACTAAAATTGTTCCTCTTATACGATGATCCACAGGGCTATCAGTCTATTTTTTCATAATTATTTCACATAGCAGGCGGTGTACCTACACAAAATGTTTTGTGTTTGACATTTAATCGATTGCATCAATAATTTTTCTTCTTCATTTTTGAGTTGATCAAAATTGCATATTAGCAACATATCGAATTTTTCGTTTCTTGAATACATTTTATGTGTCTATTAATAATATGCAATTTTAATCAACACACAGAAGAAGAAAAATTATTGATGCAATCGATTAACTGTCAAACACATAAAACATTTTGTGTAGGTACACCGCCTACTGAGTGAAATAATTATGAAAAAATAGACTGATAGCCCTGTGGATCATCGTATAAGAGGAACAACTTTAGTTTTATTATTCCAAATGGGAAGATCATGTGATTGGTACATGGCGAAAACAAAAGACAGATATATAGTTTCTGTACGAGTAACTGAATTCGAAAAAATATGTTCCTATCTTAGATTCCTCAATATCATGCGATATTTTCGAAGGTTTTCATCTTGACTCGAACAAGCTAATGACAACCTGCAGACATAGATCAGATATTAAAACATTTTGAATAATATCGGTTCACTAATGATCTTTAAATTTCAAAGCCTACCAAGTGTCGATATATCATCGAATTCATGTCAAAGCCAACTTATTCTTGTTGAATAAAAAGCAATTCAACCGCGAATTGAGAAATAAATGACACTTTGTGATACATGATTGGATAGAAAATTTCAAGGCGAATAAGATAGACTGAAGAAATGTACAGGGTGACATTTAAAAAAAAAACAGTTGGGGTCACTTCTGGTCAAACAGGTGGTTGAAAAAAATTGTCGTTAAGTTCGTAAAGTGCGCTAATTTATTATATACCCCCTGTAAATTTCGAAATTTTATCTCTCCAAATGAAAAAACTACAGACTGCTACATGTCTCCTGTGTCACGCGGTATATGCATTCCTTTTTTACAATTTTCATATTTCAGTAATGAGTGTGACAATTCCGAAAATCCCAAAACCATTTCGAGAAAACAGATGGTGTGATATGTTCTTCACCTCAGTCTTTTTCAAACGGGAGGCCTTTGGAATATGTGAAAAATTGCACAGTTTATTTGAAAATATGAAGCTGCAATGTTGACTCAAATTTTCATTCCGATTTGACCATCTGCAGTTTCTTATTCACATTCTAATGAAAATATGATTCATAGTTTTTAGTAGTAATGAAATTCAGATGAATTCCTTGCATTTTCCTAGCTTTGAGAGCCCATATAAAGAAGACCAAACGGCGAACATTGTTTAGATTTTTGTGTAGCCTTTGTTCTCCTGTATGGACGTATGTGTGATAAACAAGCAGTTGTAAAATGTTCATAGGTACTTACCGGCTATTATCCACTTAGCCTTATTGAAATAATGACGATTTCCCAACTAGGGACAATCTAATAATAAACATATACACATACAGGGGGTTTCAAAATTCAAAGATCACCTTTCAAAGGTGTAACTGTTTTTTGTGGAACCGATGCAAAAATTCCTGTGCCATTGTGCTGAAAGAAAATAGCATCATATGAGAGTTATATTGGTCAAACAGGTAGAACATTCAACTACCGCGTTCAAGAACATCAGATAAAAAAATAGAAAAAATAAGGAACAGCATCACAGTGTATTTTTGTTCCTCCTAAAAATCAAAAAATACGCTTCACTATCCAAGAAAATATACAGAGAGCTGCAAACAGTGTTTTAATTTCAAATTGAACGGCCTATTTATTTGCTCACCATTGAATATACCTTTTGGAGAGTTTATTTTTGGATTCTCCAGTTAATATCTTTCATATTTCCCAATTTTCAGGCATTTATATATTTTTATATGGTTAGTGAAACTTGATCTCTTGATTTGAGAAGGGAAAAAATACCCTGCGAGACTGTTTTTAATGTTTTTTTCTACTGTCAAAAATATGGAAGAGTTGTTATAGGTGGTGATACGCTTTTATAACGTGTCACTGGGTAAAAGTAACAATGAAATCAATCATACAAATACTTAAATACTTGGAATCATAAGATCAATAATCAAACGAACCTCAGCAAATTTATCTTTGTTGAATTTTTTTTTTCAGCAATATATTCATCAACCCTCTCTTCTTTTCGAACAGATTCCAATATTGTGTTGGGTACTGAATTTCATTGTATGTTATCATTTTTACATTGAATATAACAATTATCAACATGATAATTCACTGTTTAGAAAACCTCTAGTTGAAATGAACATGTCTTTTGCAACTGTACATAACAATATACAGGGTGTGCTTTAAAGATCTTGACAGAAACTTACCACATATTCGTCAGAACAAAACAATCCGATAAAAGCAGAGTTACCTCTAGACCGCTCTGGCCTACTCAGTACAAAACAAACAACAATAAATGGATCAAATAGCACGTTTAATTTTTTTTTGGAACTGAAAATGAAATCTTCAGCAAATTTTCAAGAAATATTCGTCAATCGTTTCAGTGTTGATACTGATGCTTTGAATCACTAAAATTCAAATTGTGTCGAAACCATGGGAGTAATGGAGTTTTATCAGCTATAACTTTTATGTAGCTAACAAAAGTATCAGATTTCTATGTACTGAAAAAATCAAGTTCAACTGCACGGAATGATATTTATTATTATCGTGATACAGGTTAAATTGCCCAATGAAGCTTTGCCAACGTACCAAATTTCAGTAAAATCTCCTGTGCCATTTCAAAGTTATGCAAAAACGATTTAAAAATTGTAATGACAAGCAAACCTTGTATCGAATTGTGTTGGTCTGAGGAAAATGTGGTAAGTTTTTGAAAAGACCTTTTAGGGACACCTTGTATATCTGACGATACATAGACATTTTGAGACTAATGATCATATTTTTCCATTTGCAGATGTATGCAGGACAGGATGTAAAGGAGGTAAGTGGAAAATAATGATTTCTGAATTAACAACTTATATCTCCGATTATTCGAAGTAAAATGGAGAATGTTCAGTATCTGCTTGAATTAATAATTAATAATAGTTTTTATTATCCTGTAACACAATCGAAAGTTACATAGTGTAGGATTATTCACAGAAAGACTTAAAAAATAAAGCCTAAAATAGGTAAGTAGACATTTTACAAGCAGTTACACATAAACACATTATTCAATGACAATTTGTTAAAAATGGAGTACAACCAGGGCCTACTCTACCAGGTACAACACTTAATACTCATTCAATCATTTCCTGAGCGGAGTAATATTTTTTTTCTGAATGGGAGGACTTTAGTGCAATATTTGAGCTATAGATAGTACTATCTCATTTCCAATTGTAATTTAGAAAGCGTCAAGTGTAATTCGGACAATATCATTGTAATCTACTTTACTGAAATTCAGAGAATATAAAATGTTATTCAGATTAGTCGATGGAAATTTAGAAAGCGGCAATTGAAATTCAGAAAGTGTCATTTGTGAATCAGAATGTATCATTTGAAGTTCAGAAAGGTCAATTGTAATTCAGCCTACGTCATTTGTAATTCAGATTAGTTAATTGAAATTCAGAAAGCGTCAGTTGAAACTCAGATTGGTCAATTGAAATTCAGAAAATATCAATTTAGATTCAGATTGGCTAATTGGAATTCAGAAATATTCCATTGAAATTCAGAAAGCTCCATTTGTAATTCAGAAATATGGAACAGTGTTGCCTTTGCTTGCTGAGCCAAGCGTGATGAATGTAGGTAATAAATTATAAAGCGATAAGTTATTCAGGAATAACATTCTTTATAATAACTTCCCCATTTTACCATTAAAATGGATTTCAATTGACCATCAATGAAAATAATTCCATAATTCTGAAGTCGCTGGTTGTACATGAATACCTTTATGAATCCATCAATCTGAATTAAATTTGACACATTCTTAATTACAATAATTGATGATATCTGAATTTCAATTGATGCTTTCTGATTTCCATCTGAATTACAATTGATGATATCTGGATTCAATTCGAGAAATCTGAATTACAATTTACGCTTTCTAAACTACAATTGAGAAAGGTGTAGTTTTTCAGTTCAATGGGTAGCTGAATGAATAATCTGAGTCCTATCACATTTGGAGAATTATAGGTCAATAAGTTTTTACAAAATGGTACATGAAAGTCTGTTTTCCACCGAGTATTATTAGTATGTACATTTTCATTCCTAACGAAACAATTACGGTTATCAAATACAGAAACGCATAATTCAAATATATACCAGCACGGTAATGTTAGTATTTTGTATCGTATTGCATGCAATGTGCCCAAAAATTAACCCTGTATACCCCTAGTTCACTTTTAGGCGGCTAGATTTTCCTTAAAATTTTGTCTGTACTATTGATAATTCAAGTGATCTTGATATAAAAAACATGTATTTTTCAAGATTCCATTTTGAAGGATTTTCTCAAACGGAATCGGGGTCGGGTGTTAACTCATTCAAAACTTCTTTCAATTCTCTATAAGACACCAGAATTTCAGACAAAAATATTTATCCAAAACAAAATGATGATGATAATATTTGAAATCTGATAACAGGATCCTCTTGATCTACACCTTTTCCAGTTGTATTTCGGAAAGCGTAAATTCGATTTCAGAAAGCTCTTATTGTTTTTCAGAATAGTCACTTGAATTTCAGAAAAGTCAATTGAATTTCAGAAAGCGTCAATTGATAATCAGTATAGTCACATGTGGTTCAGAAGGTTTTCGGTGGTCAGTGTATTTCAGAACAGTCAATTCAATTTCAGAAAGCGTCAATCGTATTTCAGAAATTGTTATTTGAATTCCAATTGATATTTTGTGAAATACCATTGACACTTTCTGAAACTTAATTGGCAATTCTGAAATACCATTGACGCTTTCTGAAATTGAATTGACTATTTTGAAATACAATTGATGCTATCTGAAATGAAAGTGACTATTCTGAAATTCAATTAGGGCTCATTCCTGAAATTCAATTGACTATTCTGAAATACAATTGACGCTTCGTGTGAAATACAACTGGAAGAGGTGTAGATGGATATTAACGTGTTCATCTGTACTCTATAACTCCCAATTGGCATCTACACTTCTTCCAGTTGTATTTCAGCAAGCGTGAATTGTATTCCAGAATAGTCACTTATATTTCAGAAATCATCCATTGTATTTCAGAATAGTCAATTGAAATCCAGATAGCGTCAATTGTAATTCAGAATAGTCAATTAATTTCCAGAAAGTGTCATTTGTATTTGAAAAATTATCATTCAAAATTCTTGGAATTCAATGGACGTTTTCTGAAATTCCATTGAGGCTAGCTGAAATACAATTGACGCTTTCTGCAATTGAATTGACCATTTCTGAAATACAACTGGAAAAGGTGTAGAAGAGTTCTTCATCGAGAAAAAAATCAAAAAGGAAGCCTTATTGGATATGATCCTAGTATGACATTTCATCATCAGCCATTTTCTTTTCGATGAAAATTGTGGAAGACTGTTCAAATGATGTATCACTCCAGCCTCGAACCCCATTTGGTTTGAAAAAATCTTCCAAAATGGCGTCCGCACACGCCATTTTGTGTACAGTTCATCAGAGTAGAGTAGAGAAGTTTATTTGACCATGTTATATACATACAAATACATTTATGGCAAGTCACAATTAGGAATAAGTTTTCAAAGAACAAGATTAATATTGGTACCTGGTAGGTATATATAATCAATCAAATCTGACTAACCTGATCAGGTATATATTTCTCTACCTGCTTCCTCAATTACTATGTAGTCGCCGATTATCTTGATAAACTCTTTTTCTTTCTATAGCATCGAAAATTTTCAAGTATGCTGAAGGAACCACGTACAAGTATAACTATGAAGGAAAAATCGAGATCTCCTTGTCTTCCGCCGAAGGACAAGTTACAAGCACTGAAGTTAAAGCCTTAGTATTATTGACTCAACAAGCAGACTGTAACCAAGTGCTCAGGCTACAGAACGTCCAGATTATTGGACCTAATGGAAAGGTAAATACACTCAAGAACAATAACACCATATTACAAAGAATAACATTACCTGAACAATCGCTGATGCTCTTGAATTCCATCCAGAGAAGAGCCATTCGTCTGGTGGGTGATACCACACTCACTAATTCTTTGACATCATCGGAACACCGTAGAAAACAAGGCGACCTTTCACTTTTCTATAGATACTTCCACGAAAAATGTTCTTCAGACATTTCTGCTATAATTCCATCACTAGTGGTACCAGTCAGACAAACTCGACATACCCAGTCAGCACATCCTCTCGTTGTCAAATTCACTAGACTCCATCCATTGACTAATTTTTACATCAATCAAATATTTCTATTCGTTTTCGAGATATTTGCGTGCGGAGTTTGAAGTGAAAAACCCTGTATATAGATATGGTTCAGATTTCTTCTGTCATCGTTATAGCCTTCCTTACTTATTATGAGTTTTATTAGCTCTCGATCTCATTGTGAACCTTTATTCAAGAAATTATCAATTTTACCGTTACCCTGCTGTTATATCATAGAATCCCTTTCATTCGTTAATAAAAAAATGTTTAACTGATAATGTCGTACGATACAATATTCAGTAGTAATACTATAGGTACTTCAAAATATTCGGGTTATACATCGATAACTTCTATAATTATTACAAGGAGTGTCAGTTTAACAGTTGAAATAATCCGACCACGAAGCGGAAAGATTATTCTGTTAAACAGACACGATATGTAATTATTGTGCAGGAAGTTTGAGATGTATAACTTTGAAGATTTTGAAGTTCGAATTGTATTCGATGCGATTATTTGTTGGGTAGTCTGAACGGACGTCAAAACTTGACGACGCGCTTTGTTTTTATGGAAAAATGTGAAATAATTACTATGGAGATGGAAATAATTCTAAATTCCTGATTGGTGGAGCTACTCTATGTATATCCACGTATTTTCGAAATTATACAAGGTAGCTCGACTCATTCGAATGTTCTGATTGCTTCAAAATCATACACAATGCCTTACCTCACAGCTTCGCGGATGTTAGTACCCTCCATACCGCCTTTATTCCAGGGCTCCGATACCAGCCAGGCAAATCAGAAACGAACGAGGGAGAAATGTTGACAACATAAATATGGGCTTGGCAACAATTCTAGGATAGGGATCCAATAATTTGGTAGATTTCAATGCAAACAAAACACAAGCATGCCTTTTCTCTAGGAAAGCCGATCTCACTGTGCCCAACATGAGCTTGTCAGGAGTAACCATCATACCCTTGAAGATATCCATTTAGATGCTTGGTATTACTACTTCCAGTCAGCGGCTCATGATCTATCAGGCACAGATCCGACCTGTCCTGGAATACTGTTCCCATATTTGGAGTGCAGCACCCAAACATACCCTGAAACTGTTTGATTCTGTCCAAAAAAGGGCAATTCGTCTCGTGGGTGATGCCTCGCTGACACTTCTCTGGAACACCGTAGACAAGTTGGCGATCTGGCCCTATTTTATAGATATTTTCATGGACGATGCTCTTCTGGAATATCAACAATTTTTCCTCCACTGGCAGTCCCCGCGAGATGAACCCGTCGAGTTGAGGATTCACATCCCTTCGTGGTCACTTTGGAGACCTGCAGAACATCTCTTTCCAAAGACTCATTTATCCAAAGAACAGCAAGGCTCTGGAACACATTGCCAAGGAAAGGGTTCCCCAAAGTATATAACCTCCAGAAATTTGAGAAGAACACCAATTCCTACCTTATTTCCCTTGGTTCTCACGATGTTCTCTAAACATTACAGGATATCCCTTTTCGTGGAAACCAGAACATAAAAAAAAAGATCTTAACTATAACTATATTCAAAAAGAGATCCATGATGTGTTGACGGTGCATTGTTTCTGTAGAGTTGAGGAAATCCTCCTGATGCATATGCCCTCCTGTACATGTCTTCTAATTTAAATTTCAATAGTGATAGCCTCTATTTTCTTCCTTTTTGAATCTATGAGATTTGAATCGAATGTATTTGAACAGATTTTATTTGTGATTGTAAAATTCTTGTATTTTTGTATGAATATCTATCTATCTTATAAGAGAGCTCAGACAATCCGCCCACCATCCACCCATCCCCACGATTCACCCCTAATAAAATTCCAGAAATTGGGCAGCATCCCGGACATCGAGCGCCCCATTCGCCTCAACTTCCACGACGGGCACATCGAGGACAGCATCTGCATCGAAGACGGTGACACCCAGAACTCGCTCAACGTCAAGCGGGCAGTCGCCTCGCTCTTCCAAGTCCGCCCCAGGGACGCCCACGAGACGGACGTGTTCGGAGTCTGCCCGACTGAGACCGCCCAGCACAACGAAGGCGGTGATGTGATCGTGCAGAAGCGCAGGGACTTGAACAAGTGCGCGTACAGGGAGAACGTCAGGCAGGACTTCTTCAGGACCACGTTCAATCTGGACAGTGAAATCAAGGCCAGTCCGATGCTGAACGGGGATTACAGCGCGAAGTTGAGGATCAAGAACGGTATTTTGGACCAGGCAACGGCCAACGAGAGGTAAGCTGAAGCATGAAATACCTGGAACATTTAGGTATTATCAACGATAGGCAATATGGATTCCGTCATCAGAGATCAGCTGGTGACCTGCTCGCTTACGTCCTACATATATGGCAGCAATCTATTGAAAAATATGGTGAAACCTTAATCGTGGCACTTGATATCTCCAAGGCATTCCATCGAATCTGGCACCACGGATTCCTCGCCAAGCTTCCTCCTGATGGCTTGCCTACCCAGCTATGTTCTCTGCTAAATAGTTTTCTCTCAAACAGGTCTCTGCATGTAGTGGTCGAAGGAGTTTCAGGTGACTCTCTTATCATAAATGCTGGTGTTTCGCAAGGATCAATCCTAGCACCAACATTATTTCTACTACATATCAACGATTTGTTGAAAGCAACTTCATGTCCAGTACACAGCTTCGTGGATAATAGTACCCTCCGTACCGCCTCCGCTTCTAGGGCTCCAATACCAGCTAGGCAAATCAGAAACGTACGAGAAAGAAATGTCTACAACATGAATATGAACTTGGCAACAATTCTCGAATTGGGTTCCAATAACTTGGTAGATTTCAATGCAAACAAAACACAAGCATGCCTTTTCTCTAGAAGAGCCGATCTCACTGTGCCCAACATGAGCTTGTCAGGAGTAACCATACCTTTGAAGACATCCATTTCGATGCTTGCTATTGCTCTCAGCAATAACCTTTCTTGGGAAAATCAAGTGAGATCAATTTTGCTGAAAGTGCATCTCAAAAACTTGGTTTTCTGTTTCGGGCCTGGAGCTATTTCACTTCTAGTCAGCTGCTTATGATCTATAATCCGACCTGTCCTCTAATACTGTCCCCATATTTGGAGTGCAGCACCCAAACATACCCTGAAACTGTTGGATTCTGTCCAAAAAAAGGCAATTGGTCTCGTGGGTGATGCCTCGCTCACAAACTCACTCACTTCTCTGGAATACCGTAGAAAAGTTGGCGATCTGGCTCTACTTTATAGATATTTTCATGGACGATGATCTCCTGAAATATCAACAATTGTTCCTCCCATGGCAGTCCTCGCGAGATCAACCCGTCGAGTTGAGGCTTCGCACTCCTTCGTGGTCACTCTGGAGACCTGCAGAACATCTCTTGCCAAAGTCTCGTTCATTCAACGAATAGCGAGGCTCTGGAACACATTGGCATGGAAGGTGTTCCTCTAGGCATATAACCTCTAGAAATTCAAGAAGAACACCAATTCCTACCTTATTTCCATTGGTTCTCATGATGTTCTCGGAACATTACAGGATATCCCTTTTCGTGGGAACCAGAACAAAACAAAAAAAAGATTCAACGGAGGCGCTGAAGCATTGCCCATTGCCCTGATAATAATTCGTGGACCTGCGTGTCACTCGAACGCGTCGAGGGTTAGTGTAGAAGTTGGGTTGTGTGATCAGGGCATTCAGCCAAGTTAGGTCTGGGTCGATAATGAACCACCTTTGAGCGGTGTAACGCCAACGTGGTGCCTTAGGTGGGTTAGACGGATTTTAGCTACAATGTAGGGACCTGTTAGGTAATTGGGGTTGGCAAGTAAATGTCGCACCGACCGCACTGTAGGTGGTTCGGAGGATTTATCATTGCCGATAAAAATTAAGCGATCGCAATGTCGCTATCTTGAAGGTTGTAATATGTTTTTAGAGACTTTTATAATCCACATATGAATCATTCATTCCATCTCGAAGGATCTTTCGCGTAACGTATTTTGATTGTCCATCAGATCGCGCAACTGAGACGTTAGGGCAAAGTTGATAGGTGTACTTCTTCTTTTCTTTTCATTCAACCTGTTTTTACGATATCCTTCTCTTCTCCGTTAATGTGAAAATTGCGGGTTCATTCCACTTTGAAAACAAAAAACGCGAGTTTGCTCATTACTTGCGTTTTTCTATTTGTATTAGTAGGCCACATAACTGTTTCAAGAAAATGGTCGTGAAACAAACTTTTCACGTGAAAACTGTACAAAGGTGTATCCATCAGAAATGAGACCGACTGTATACTGACTCCCCAACCTGATAGAGACGTTTGCTAGCGTTGAGAAAGGAAACATATGTCTTCCCCATCTGTCCTTGTCTTCAGTGTTCCAACGTGAAATGATGAATATTTTCATATTGGCAAAACCAAAAATGAGAAAAAAATTGAGACGAAGACCGTTCTAACCTTCTTTATATTGAGGTTAATATGATCTTCTTCTCCATTGCCAATGTTGCCAACAAAAAATTTGTTTCGAGTAATTTCCAAGTATCTGACCGCGAACTAAAAACTATAAATGCTAGAATGCGTTCTGACTGAAGTACTGTTAAAGCACTCGTTTCAGGTGTCTTAAATTCATTTCGATAATCGGCCATTATTTCGCTAGTAGATCGGTGTTATCTGGGTATTTTAATGCAAAATATCTGCCTAGAATGTCAGTCTGATATCAGATTCTAGTTATATCTTTGGAAGCGTATGGCACTTTTCCAACTGGAAGTGGCTAACTATGAGAAGTCAGCCTAAATAATAAATTCTTCTAGGTACCTGTACGTCCCATTCTCGGTGGGTGAACATGGTGCCAGAGCAGAAGTCAACAGCAAGCTACACCTGGTAGGCACTTCCAAGGAGAACCCCACCGTCAAGTGGAGCAAACCCAGGACCATCCTGTTCGAAAACCCTCACCCGGTAGTAGCTCCAACCAGCAACGTGAACACAGTCGTCAACGCAGTCAAAGAAGTCGATAAGACCGTCGATATCGTCGTCGGAGAACAAACGGCTAGACAGTTCGTCAACTTGGTCAAGACTGTCAGAGTGGCGAAGAAGGATGATCTTTTGGCGGCTTACAATCAGGTAGGCTAACCCATTAACCCCTAACAATACCTCATGGTAACGCTCTAATCCTTCGAGACAATCACCTAACAATAAATGAACCACGGTTTCCAAATATTCAGTGAATGTATCTTTTCAGGTGAAATCTGGCGCAGGACTGAAAAACAAGGATGTGGCCAAGAGGGCTTTCTTCGATGCTCTCATGCAAGCAGGAAGCGGAGATGCTGTGGAAACAGCATTGATGTTGATAAAGAGCAACGAGCTGAATGAAGTCGAGAAGAGGTTCGCTTACATCGGATTATCCGTTGTGAAGCATGCCACCGAAGGATCCTTGAATGCTGCGACTGTAAGTATATTGAATAAAAGAGAATTCATGCAAAAGACCATTATAAAATTATATAGGGATAGTCAGTTCACAAAATGATTACATGCATAGTGGTAAATATAGACATCCATGAATATTACAAAACAAAGAATGTATAACAAATGAGTACAGACATTTATATAACCAAACTGAAATGGAAATATACATATAAATACATGAAACTAGGAATACATTGGATTTAATTATATATCTGGTACATGGTTTGGAGTTGATGAAGTCATCCCAGGAGTAGGAACCTTGACTGCTGGGAAATTCTCTCGTTTTCTGTTTCACTTTATTCGGATTTGGCAGCTTCTTGATCTCAATGGGCAGACAATTGAAGAGCTTCGACCCTATATAAATGGGTGACTTTTCGAAAAGTTTCGTTTTGTGCTTGATCACTTTCAGTAGGTTTCCCCACCATGGGGATCTCAGTTATTATAAGAGATACGAGGTCGATTAACTTGAGGCAAAGTTGCGCATTTTCATGCTGAGCATTTATCTGCGGAAAAATTCGATGTGTCATTTCTAGTTTTTGAACTATTAAAAAAAAATGGTAATTTGTAATTTTCGTTTTTATTTTTTTAAGCGAAAACCAGCATACCTAGACTAGACGTTTCTGACTAGGACATTTTTAAGGCACTTTTTCACAAGGGATCTGAATCTGTCATCGTTTTTTCTATGATGTTCTTGATGATGAAATAACAACACTCAACTTTGTTTTTTCTCATGGACGCCATATTGGATTTTCGTATTTTTGAAAAGCTTTTTTTTTGTTACAATGATGTATCACACGATATGATCGAATCTTTCCTGTTGATCAAAATTGGGTGAATACCAGTTTTGCGAAGAGTGCTTTGGATGGAACGCCAAAACTGAATTTTGACAGTTCGATTGAATATGCGAACAGAACTGTTGAATTCTTGAGCTTATCCACATAACGCAAGAAGGGTTGCCAAGTGTCTGTCAGATATGTTCCCTGACAAGGTAACTTCCAACAACGGAGAAATACGTTTGGCCAGCGCGGTCACCTGATCACTCTCCGCTGGATTATTATTCATTGGGAACTATGGGAGATTTGATTTTCAAAACTGTACCGATCGATATTGATGAGCTGAGAAGAACCATAATCACCACTTTCAGGACTAAAATAAGAAGAAGGGACATCTCGCGAGCAATTCAGAATCTGAGGAAACGAGTAGAATTGTGTTTAGATTTTGTTTTGTTTTGCGAAGAATAAACTTCTAGCTTATCACGTCGTTCCTAATTCAAAACATAGTTTTCAAGGAGATGAGCTTGACAAAAATGTGAACGTTCCAGATCCAAATTCAATTAAACTTTCGAAATTCCGCTTGTTAAACAGAACTTGGTATTCTTTCCGAAGCACTATTCGCAAAAAAGGTTTTCCCCAATTTTGATCAACAGTAAAGATTCGATCATATCGTGTGATATATATCATCGTTATCAGAAAAAAATACCTTTCAAAAATGAAAAAAATCAATATGGCGCCCATTAGAAAAAACAAAGTTGTGTGTGCAACTTTGACATCAAGAACGTCATGGACAATAGAATTTTTTTTATCGCTTAGAGCGCACGAAAGGGAATCCCTATAATGTTCAAAGAACATCGTGCGTTCCTAGGGAGGATAGGGATAGGAATTGGAATTTTTTTTGAACTTCTGGTGATTATATGTTATTGGGAATACTTCCTCTCTGGCAATTAATTCCACAGCCTAGCCGTTCTATGGATGAAGGTGTTTTGATAAAGTGCTGTTCGACATCTTTCGAGATTGACAACGAAAGGATGTGCTGACTGGGCTTGTCTAGTTTGTGTGGCTGGTATTGCTAGTGAAGGAATGATATAGCAGAGATTTCCGTAGAACATTTCCCGTGGAAGTATCGATAGAAAAGTGAAAAGTCGCCGACCTTTCTACGGTGTTCCAATGATGTCAAAGAGTCAATGAGTGTGGCGTCACCCACCAGGCGGATGGCACTTCTCTGGATGGAATATAAGAGCATCAGCGTATGTTTTGGTGCTGAACCCCATATGTGGGAACAGTATTCTAGAACAGGACGTATCTGCGGTTTGTAGATCATGAGAAGCTAATGAGGTGTGAAGTAGCTTTTCGCACGGAACAAGAATCCGAGTTTTTGTGAAGCAGCTTTTGCGATGGATCTGACATGATTATCCCATGAAAGAGTGTTGCTGATGGAGATAACGAGCGAAGATATGGTGGGCTTGGTGGGGATGGTGGTGCCAGACATTACAATGTCGGGCATACTGGGTTCCGCCTTTCTAGAGAAAATACAGGCTTGAGTTTTGGTGGCGTTGAATTCAGCTAGGTTGTTGGTTCCCCAGGCTGTGATTTCAGCAAGGTCTTCATTGACAGCATTGATCTGCCTGCGCCGTGAATTCTTAGTTTCCTGGGAAGAAATAGGAATTCTGGAAGAGAACGCAGTATGGAGGGTACTATCATCTGCAAAGCTATGGATGTGGCAAGTTGTTACTCCTAACAGATCATTGATATGTAGAAAGAATAATGTTGGTGCCAAAATTGATCTTTGTGGAACGCCGGAAATGATGCCAATGGTATTAGACGATACACCGTCCACCACCACGTGAAGTGATCTGCCTGAAAGAAAACTCGATAAGAGATGGCATAGCTGAGGTGGTAAGCCGTATGATGGTAGTTTGTGGAGAAGTCCTTCGTGCCAAACACGGTCAAATGCTTTCGATATGTCCAACGCGACAGCTAGAGATTTCCCGTGTTTTGCTAATGAAGCTAGCCATAAATGGCTGACGTAGGCTAAGCGTAATATATCAATCAACGACGTAGGCAAGTAGATCTCCAGTAGATCTTCGGTGTCGAAAACCGTATTGTCTTTCATTGATGATTCTTGAGCTCTCTAGATATTTCATAAGCTCAATATTGATGGCTTTCTCCATCACTTTGGAGATTATACTGATAACAGGGCAATGGGCCTGTAGATGTTGGACAGGTTCTTGTTCTCTTTTTTGGGGATTGGTTGGACTCTAGCTGTCTTCCAGCATGATGGAAAAATACCCGAACTGCACTACTTTGCCGTATCTGTTATAATAACTGGGACCCCCATGGTGGACTTCGAAAACCGGACACACTGTAGAGTACCGCATACAACCTAGTAAACACAAACATCCCTGGGATGTCACATCCATGTCTCGCTAGGTAACAAAGCGAATTACAAGAAAACATCATTGGTATTGCCAGGAGACTCTTCATTCAACATAACATTCACAATATTCGTCACGGTTTATTGGATTTGGGATCTGAAATGTAGGTGAATTTGTGGAGCTCCCCAACAATACAGAGACTCACTGGAACCTCACATTCTTGTCTATTCATGTGACAAACGAAATTCATCGATCCCGATGTTGAATGAGGAGTCGCTGAATACGTACTGTGAGTTCCATTTGGCATCATATAATGTGAATCATGAAATGACCAAAAGGGTCCGGAATAGCAGTCATTGTGATTTCAGTGAGTCTCTCATTTCGAGTCACGAATATGTAATGTGTGGCATGAATATGATGCCCTCCTATATCTCTGGAATCAATCTGTGTTAACTGAGAATGATCGTCATCCAATTTCCCAGGTGCTGTTGAACCAACCAGACCTGCCCCAAGAAGCCTACCTCGGTATCGGCAACCTGGCAGGCCGCTACTGCAGCCAGCACTCCTGCGAGAACGTCGAGGCCATCAACAAGCTCACCCAGCGCCTGATCCAGAAACTCGGCTCAGGCAAACCCGCCAACAAGAAATCGGAAACCGAGATGGTGTTCGCCCTCAAGGCTCTGAAGAACTTCGGCCACCTCAACGACAACACCCTGCAGAAGATCATCGCCGTGGCGCAGAACAAACAGGCTCCCAACAGGCTCAGGGTCGTCGCCCTGGAGACCTACGCCGCCGCTCCCTGCAAGGACAAGCTCAGGAACAGCGCGCTGCACGTGCTGCAGGACATCCAGCAGGACTCGGAAGTGAGGATCAAGGCCTACTTGGCGCTCGCGCAGTGTCCCACCGCGAAGATCGGGAACGCTGTCAAGGCCATGTTGGCAAAGGAGCCCAGCTACCAAGGTAGGCTTCACAATGGGCATATTAGTTCAAATGAAAAAAAAAATAAGAAAACGAAATAAATCAATATGTATATAGTCAAATTTGAGATCAATCATAACTTCTATATTTCTGATTCAATTATCCAATGTTTCCCAACGAACTGAAGACAAAATGACCGATTAGAACTCGCATATACTTACAGTATTTCATTGAATGTTGGTTATAATTCATTATACAAACTTAGTTGAGAGGTTGTTGTAATACCCTTTATATCGAATTGTATCAATTAAGAACCATTCTTATTCTACATTTCGATTCTTGGTTCATGTTTCCAAGTGCACTGATTTATTTCAGAAAGCGGAATGAACTCAAAAAAAATTGATCGTCAACTTTAAATGAATCAACCTTCATCCACTTATAATTTTTTTTGTGTATTTTTTTGTATAATTTGGGAACCAACTCCCCAGAAGTCGAAACTTGTGCGGGGTTAGAAAGAGCGGGACCTATAGCTTATAGTGGAATCCGAACCACTTCTAGGGCATCGGGGTGCTGCCAGGAAACAACCATGAATCCCACATTTTTAAGAAAAATGCTCAGCCGATAGCGGGATTCGAAATACAGTAGGCCCTGATTCGAACCGACAGTACCTTCGCGTCGTGAACGGCTATCTAGCGAATTTCAGCGCATAAACAAACTCGGCCACGGGAATGAATCAATGACTCATTTTGAGTCTAATTTTGAGAACATGCATTTTTTCAAAATTATACGAGACGAATTCCCCGCAATTAATTCATGCACGTGGGGGATTCGGTAAGAAAATTTAATTCCGGCTTATTCAAAAAGAGAACAATAAGTGGATATTTACTCTTCTCGTATACCCTAGTGAATTAAAATGTATAGTATCAGATACATTATTAAATAAAAATTATTGATTTCATATGATTCTCTTATTAGGTTTCCGGAAAATGAAAAAATACTGTCACAACATTATTTCAATTTTGTCTATTTATTAGTAGTGCCTAAATCTTTCGAACTATTCCCATCACGTGGTATGTTGAGATTCTTGTTTTTTATTTTTTTTTTTCGTAATAAAGTTGTGGAGACTGAGTTTGGTCAGAGAGTTTTATTCTGGCGTCAGTCTTCTATGATCATTTTTGTTGGGACTTAGGCTTTCAAGGATGTTTTTCTTCCTCGAGACCTCGAGGGTCTCGTTAATGATTCCAAGTTTTTCTACAATTAAGCAAATGCGCATGCGTCCATGGTATATCATATGATTCACTGTGGCCAATCTGACAATGAGGTTTGGAAATGGTTCGAAAACTTTAGGCTCTCGTAAATTATATGATAGCTGTCATGTGCCAGGAAATTCTCACTTATTAATTTTACCTCTATATGTTCATGTGGATGAAAATTTTCCAGAAAATTAGCTGGTCGCCATAGTAACAATGTCGAAATGAAACATCTGATTGGTTGAAAATGACAGTTGCTGGTTTGCCAGCTTTATAACCAAACTTCTTCAATATCCGGCGAACTGTTGAATTGTTACCTCGAACCTCTTGAAGTTGATTTCTTGAATTCAATGATGTTAAGTGATATTCCCGCATAGTTTCAACGTGAAAAAATATGTCATCAGTAGCAGTAATTTTTAGTTATCTGCCACAATTTGGCCTAAACATATTTCAGGCAGTTCTCGTTTGACTACTCTTTTGATGAACATGAAGTATTCTTGTTACATATTCACAACTATTGCAACCTATTCACAATTTTCCGCAGTTGAATCCATGGTAGGAGTAGGTGGACTTGTGTAAAAAAATCACTGACAATTTCAATAAGGACAAAACCAATAAATAAATCACATTTCTCAACCCTTTCAGCCCCACTTTTCTTCTTGAATTAACTGAGTTGGAGTTGTGATTTCTGACTCATTTCGTATATAATTAGGGTACTCGTACAGGTTTGCATCATTTAAAATTTGTTTTGTGACATTGACAGATGGAACAAATATGCTCCATTGGTATTGTTGAATGGGTCAAATATGTCCCACTGGTAAGCTATGGAAAAAAGTGCAAGTTTTACCTATACTAACAAGTAAAATCAACTCCTATTGTAAAAGTATAATGCGTCATCTTCAACTAAAGTCCAGGGATAAATGTTTTTCAAAGCTTTATTTGAATTTCAAACCATAAAGACATTGAGTTACATAATATAACAAACTAATTGTTTCTCACATTTTAGTCATGAAAACGAGTACCTTCCTAAGTAACAAATTGTATTTGACATCTACGAAGAATAGGTCGTAGGGTTCATCTTTCCATCACATGAAAAGCAACTCCAATTTATGGAATTTTCTTACCGAAGACCTAAATCCCGATAATTCTGTTGCTAGTGATAAGTTCTTTTCGTTAAAAATGAACTTGTGTACTTAAAGGCATGAATCAAAAATCAAAATTTAGGAACGGAATTGAATGGAACAAAAATTGGTAATTCGATTGAATTTGAGAACGAAATTATTCCACAGCGTGTTTTGAAATTCAGCGTTTAGCAAAATACTAGATATACACGTTGGAATTGATCATTTTAATTACATTCTGCAAAAAAATTATATTAAGCTTGGAGCAAGAAGAAGAAGAAATTGGGAAACTTCGAATTTTTTACCAAATATCAAACTTGCTACGTTTGTAGATAGTTACATGAAAGTGTAGATAGTTACATGAATTTCAACGGTTTTTTAACTTTTAGTTATCACTAGCCAACAACAAATTGTTCATAGCAGTTTTCGCTCTTGATATTCTCCGATCAAAACGAATCAAGGTATAACAATGCCATTGTTCGATTTTCAGTCGGAGGTTTCATCAGTTCGCACATCCGCGGCATCCGAAACTCCGCTAACCCTGACCTCCAACTTGCCAGCCAACATCTCGGATTCAGTCTGCCGAAGAAGTTCCCCGTAGACCCGCGGAAATACTCCTTCTACAACGAGTTCTCCTACTCCGTGGACACTCTGGGAGCTCTGGCATCGGTGCAGCAAGACAACATCTACTCGCAGGACTCGTGGTTGCTCAGGTCTCACAGACTGAACCTCACCGCCGAGGTGTTCGGCCATACCTTCAACTTCATGGAGTTGGCCGTGAGACAGGAAAATCTGGACAAGCTGGTCGAGCACTATTTCGGTCCCAAGGGCCTTCTGAAGGCTTCCTCCATCTCGGAACTCCTCAAGATTAACGGAGAAGCGGCCAGTGAGCTATTTATGTATCTCGAGGTGAGTCAATGGTTATTTTTTTAAATGGACTTGGTCCTTAGTTATGTATATAGGATCCTATGCAACTGTATAGTACACAATACACAGCTTCGCGGATGATAGTACCCTCCATACCGCCTTCTCTTCCAGGGCTCCATTAGCAGCCAGGCAAATCAGAAACGAACGAGGGAGAAATGTTGACAACATAAATATGGGCTTGGCAACAATTCTCGAATGGGGATCCAATAACTTGATAGATTTCAATGCAAACAAAAGACAAGCATGCCTTTTCTCTAGAAAAGCCGATCTCACTGTCCTGGAATACCGTTCCCATATTTGGAGTGCAGCACCCAAACATACCGTGAAACTGTTGGATTCTGTCCAAAAACGGGCAATTCGTCTCGTGGGTGATGCCTCGCTCACAAACTCACTCACTTCCCTGGAACACCGTAGAATAGTTGGCGATCTGGCTCTATTTCATAGATATCTTCATAGACGATGCTCTTCTAAAATATCAATAATTTTTCCTCCCTTGGCAGTCCCCGCGAGATTGATCCGTCGAGTTGAGGCTTCGCTCCCCTTCGTGGTCACCTTAGAGACCTGCAGAAAATCTCTTTCAAAAGACTCGTTCATCCATCGACCAACGAGGCTTTGGAACACATTGCCAAGGGAGGTGTTCCCCGAGGCATATTACCTCAAGAAATTCAAGAAGAACACCAATTCCTACCGTATTTCCTTTGGTTCTCACGATGTTCTCTGAGAATTACAGAATATTACTCTTCGTGGGAACCAGAACATAAAAAGAATACCAGTTACAAATTCACGCCATTGATTTATGTGTTGAGAGATCAGAGAAGATCAACCTCACACATAAAAAAATCAAAATATTCTGCGATAGCCAATAAGCGGCTCTGAAAACACTGGACTCGTACCAAGTAAATTGGTATTGCCAAACAATACTCTCCACAATTGGAAGACTTGACAAATTATTGCTGGTCTGGATTCCTGACCACTCCAGTATGAAAGGATTGAATTGCAGATCTCCTTGCAAGGGTGTGCTGAAACATCTGCCACCTACGCTCCTGTGTAGTTCTGTGAAGATATAATAATAAATGAGCGATAAGCTTCCCGACTGGGGAACCCACATCGTCTGGGTCATGTGAGCTTTCCCTGTTGTTCGTGTTGATTGATGAACGAAGCGGTTTTGCAGGGCCTTGAATGCATTTATTTTCAATCGAGAACTTTATCGAATGGTCCTATAAATTGACGATCTGAAAGAAATTGAACCTGAATTATTTGCCAGTTCAACTATTTATTCATGAAATATTTGTTGAAGTTTGTTCATCACTTTCAGATTCACAAAGAATGAGATCACAGTGCCTACTGTCCATCCCTATTTGTAAATAGATAATCATTGGTAGCAATAAATCTACGATTTCTGGTGAGAAGGTGTTTTCACCCTACAGCTAACCCCAAACTCCTGAAGGTTTCATTGCAAGGGAGGGTGCCACTAGTGGTTTCATCGGACCAAAACATCTCCTATGTCTTGTCGAACATACACTAAACACTTGGACTGAAAGGAGAGTTGTATACTTCTGACAGAATTTCGAAAAATCCCACTAAACAACTACAACAGGAATGACCTATGGGCTCTCTAACAGGTTTCTGTCGTCTAAATCATCAGATATTTTGACTTGGACTGTCGTGGTATTTGGATTGCCTTCTCTCTGTGTTGAAAATGATAAACAGCAATCAGGATTTCGCTTTTTGGCATTGTTTCACTCTCTTCCTCAGACCTAGAAGATCATTCACCAAGTAAATGAATCAGCTTCATGAATAAGCTCGATCTACTTGGTGAAATATAAATTGGCTGTGTGGATTCTCATTATTCATGAAATTTTAACTAGGTACTTATTAACATTCACTCAGATCCATAGTTGCTATTGACATTCCGACGTGTTGATTAGCTGACGATAAGTTCATTTTCCTCGTGTTTCAATGAATTGACTTATTTTCAGCGAAAACTGAGTGAGACCCTACGTTCTAGACGAGATGTATCCAGAGCTGAAATCGAAAACATCGGCAAGGCCGTCCAGATCAAAGAAAACGAACTGAACAAAGACTTGGACGTTGATGTGAGCGTGAAGTTGTTCGGCTCTGAAGTATTATTCGCTAACCTGAACGGCAACCAACAAGAACTGTCTCCTTTAGCAATCATAGACAAGATCATCGATGGCTTCTCCAAAGGATTAGATAAGTTGAAAGGATTCAAGGTGAGTACAGCAATAATTCAAACTCTCTATGCTCAACAAAACAAAATGTCATCAATGAGGCATCTAGAGTCTCAGTGGGAGAGCAAGAATAAGGTGTTGGTTTGATTTCAGGAAACTCTGCGCTCCAACATGATCTTCCTCGACGCCGAACTCGACTACCCCACAGGACTGGGATTCCCCTTGCGCCTAGCCGTAGAAGGAACCTCCAACTTGCAAGTACAAGCTGAAGGGCAAGTAGACGTGCGAGCACTATTCAATAACAGAGACACTACCGCCCACGTCAAATTGATACCTAGTGCCAGCATCGAGGTGGCCGGAAGGATGACCTTGGACGCATTGGTAGCCGAAAACGGTCTCAAGGTTGCTTCTACGCTCTATACTGCCACAGGAGGAGACATCACCATCAATCTCTTCAGCGGAAAGAACGACGGGGTGGACGTCAAATTCGGTTTGCCTGTCCAAGACCAGAAGATCATCTCTGCCAACCACGAGATCGTGTTCGTTAACAGAGAACAAAACGGCCACGAATCTCTGTCACCGTTGAAGTTCGCGCAAGCAAAGGACTTTTCCATCTGTCTGGATCAACTCAGTCCCTTCATAGGTATGCAACACGAATTATATGAAAACATCCTCCTATTTTACTCAATCTATTATTATAGGTGTTGCTTTCTGCGCCGAGGTCAATGGGCCTAACCTAGCTGGTCAGAAAGTACCGCTTCTACCTTTCCCACTAGCAGGAGATGCCAAAATCGGTGTGAATATCGAAAACGAAGACGTCCTTGAATACCATCTGAGAGCCAGCCAATCCAATTTCAGGAACGGAGAAATATTGATCGAAACCGTCGGCAAGAACAAGCAGAACAAATTCAGCGTGCAAATAACCGGGGAATATTCTCCTGAGCACTATGTCAAGGCCGTTTTCAACTCACCAGTGAAATCAGGTTCGGTCGAAGCTCGAGTGACTGACAGCGGCAAAGAGAAATCTTTGTTACTGAAAGCGAGCCATGACCAGGAAGAGTTCCATCTTAAAGTCGGGGTTGCTATATCGGGAACATCAGAACGCGCAGTTTACAACCCCATTTTGGACTACAAGGTTTGTTGAAATCGCAATGATTTGTCCTGTGTTTCTCTCAATTAACCTTTCAATATAATATCATTGGTATTTTTGTTATGAATATCAAGGGTCCTGGTGGAGAACAACAGCTGCCGGTGAACGTTGAAGGGCAGATCATACTAGAACAGAAAGGTCGCAGTAAAAAGTACAACTTCAACAATGTTAGGCTGACTTTGCCCAACACTAAGGTCATATCCATCAATGGAAATATCGGAAATGATGACAGGGACCTCTTTAGTGACCTCACAATTGCCGAAGGACAACTATCTGGAACAGTTAAAGGTAGGTCAAGAACGTTCTTTTAACCCTGATTGCAAACTCTGTATTTAACTCACTTCCTCTAGGTCGTCTACATGTGGACGAACTACTTTTGAAGCTGAACGCAGAAGTAACGAACACCTTCAATCCCATGGTGAACTTCAACCTCAAAGGGGAGGTGAAACGAACAAGAGACCACAGCCAATACGACAGCACCTGGCAACTCATCCACGGTCCCGACCTATCCTCCAAAAAGAACATCCTAACCATAACTAACTCGGTGACACGCCGCTACAAGAACTCCAACGACTATACCGTGGGATGCAAACACAGGCTGACCTACCCCCTCGTCGGAGTCAATGCAGCATTCGAATTCGAGCAGACCCCCAAGAGCTTGGACTACGAGTTGGACTTTGCGTACGCCGACATCAAGTTTGGATCGGAGCTAGAAGTCGAAGTGAACAAGAAAGTTGACGGCGATTTCGGCCTTCAGTTCGAGATCCACGGCCTGAAGAACAAGGTAGCCTTGAGAGCCAACCGACAAGTCACAGGCTACCAAAGCAAGATCGACAACGAACTCAGCATCAACGGAATGAAGATGGAGGTCAGAGGTACCATCAAGCACCAACTGAAACCGAACGATGTCGACATCGGAGCAGACTTGACGGTCATACTCCCGACTCACCCTACCCCATTCAAGGTGGACAGCGGGCTAAAATACAACCCCGAAGAAGTAGATGTGCACCACAAGGTGACCAGTGGCAGCGCAACCGTCATCGATGCTTTCATCAAGGCCGACAAAGACGGAAACGCGAACGGTAATGTCAAGGTCAATATCAAAGACGTGGTGATTATCAATGGCCAGTTGAAGGCCGTCAAGGGCATCGGTAACGGTGATATCTTGATCGACGTGCAGAGCTTGAAAAAGGAAGTGAAACTCGTCTCGAACTTCCAAGTGCAACCGCCCACGACATACATCATTGAGCTCACCGTTTACCCTTCTTACGAGTCGAAGAAGGATCAAAAGATCGTGCTGTCGACCAACAACAAGATTTCTTCCACCAATGTAGATTCTAGAAACAGCATCGATGTGCTAGGTAGAAAGCTCGAGGCCAATATCAAAGGAACCAAGAGCGGAGACCTCTCCAGCGGCAAAGTGAACGGAGAAATCGAGGTTATCCTACCTACTGACCAGTACTTGTTGGGTAAGGTCAGTTGCGACCACAAAGACAGCAACCGCATTTTGAACGGACACAGTTTGGTCAGTTTGGAGTACAGGCAGAACAAGAACACAAACGGCCGCAAGGTCAGTGTTAGCACTACTTACAAAGATACCAATCCTGACGAAGGAGTGTACGATACGACTGTCAATGTGGCTGCTGACGACAGCAATGGCAAGAACATCAATGGCGATTTTGTGTTCAAGAGTGGCAAGCAAGGAGAAGCTAGAGTTGTAGAAGGCTCGGTAAGTAAGAAAAATAATATAAATAATGATAGATCTCTTCCTGATTTTGAATCATCTCTAGTATTCCTCGTGAAAAAGATAACCAGGTATCTTCTGAATTAAGAAATTGATCTGAATACAAGAAAGAACTAGTAATAACAGAAACATACTTCAAATAAATCATTTTGGGATGAACTTCAATCACGAGAATTGAAACAATATGACATGCATTGAATATCTTCATTGATTTTTCTAGAACAAAATTTACGGCTCCATTCTACCTAACCCACTGTCTGTTTTGTGGAAAGCAAAATGTCATGCTGGAGTTGGTGACTACGGAATATCTTCATCTTATGGACCAAATGCTGCATTGAAAATTGACGGTACGTACCAAACTCACACTATTCAGAGTAACAAGCGACGCTTGAGAAATAATTGAAAGGCAATGTATCGACAGTTCATCGTGTCTTCATCAGAGCACTGCAATATATTATATATAAAAATAACATTGATCGATCATTCAAAATATCTGGGGATATCAAATGTATAAGGGATACCCACTTCAAGATAAGTGTTCGAATTCTGTAGTCATCAGATTTTACGCAGTAGCCATAACCATAAAATCAAAATAGGGTTTTCATGAATATTATTCATCTTTGTAGGTAAATATGACCTGGAAAATACTGACAGACCACTTTCGGGAGAAGTTAAACTCGAATTGACCACACCGAGCAAAGCTTTGAGAACTCTGAAAGCTGGAGCTTCTGGATCTTTATCAGCACCAAAGGGACCAAGTGAATCAGCTCAGGTTCAGGGCACTGTCAATCTCTTCGCAGATGACGATGGTGTAAGTGAAAATCATTGAGATAGTTCATCAATATAAGGCTTTTCTTTCTTTTGTTTTCCATTACTAGAATAATATCGGTGTCACATGTATTGAGTTATCAGGTGAAATTAATTCGATATGTCAGCATTCTTTTTCCCTATTACTATACAACAACTCTTCCTATTGATATCCAGCCAGTATATGGACAATTTCTTTTTTGAAAGTAAGAATTGATAGATAATGGTAAATGTGACTTCCAATCGGCAATGAGTTGCTGTTAAAACAAAAAAATCTAAAACCTACATATCCAAATACAACTTAATTACATTTGGATTCAGCTGCATAGGTAATGTTTCTGTTCATTCTAGCAACCATTTTTCCAAGCTGAAGTTTTGATTTCATGTTCCTAACCTATATCAATATTGATAGCATTTTCTCGTTTCAGTCCGTTCCAGACCCCATCATTGACTTCAGTGGAGAAGGCCTGGTTAAGGCTTCAGAAAAAGATGGAGAAATCAAGGTAAACAAATTAAAATAATAAGATGGGGTTGTGCACAAACGATTTTCTCTATATTACCAGGGAAGCATCAACTACGGCAAGCTTGGCCCAGTATCAGCAGCAGCCGGCTACAGCGTCAAGGAGAACGGCAAGCAAAAACAACTGAACGGCAACGTCGCGGTGCAATACGGCCAAGGCAAGAACCTCAAGGTCGAAGGGTCAGTCTCCAGGAAGGACGAGAACAACTACAACCTGGACGCTACCATCATCACACCCTACGAAGGCTACAAGAAGACCGTGCTATCAGTGGACACCGAACGTTCCGAGGACAGAAACCACGTCAAGAGCAAAGTGGCCTTGACCAGCGACGGGAAAGAATGGAAGGTCGACACCGAGATCAGCGCCTCCCAGATCGCCCCCTTAGTCAACATCCAAGTGAAGTGCCCTAAAGGCAAACGCAGCCAACTCTACGTGAAGGCCAACAGAGCCAGTGCCTCCCAGTTCGGCGGTGAATTCAAGATCCTGTGCGAAGAGCGCGACTTCTTGCTCGAAGGCAAGCTAGACGCTAACGTCGACACCATCGAGAACTTCAACATCAAAGGCAACGTTAACTCGCCTGCTCTGAAGCTCAACAAGATCTCCTTCGAGGCCCACAACCAGCCCGGCAAAACAGGCAGGAAGATCCAAGTGGTCGTCAAGTCTGCCAACCAGAACTTGATGTCCGGCAGTACCAACTACCAAGCTCGGGAAGAGCACGGTAAATACATAGTCGAGGGATCCGGGTCGTTTAAGATCAAGGAAGAAACCAGGGCTGCCAACTTCAAGTACATCATCAGCAATCTCTCGTCCGCGAAGAACGGTGAGGAAGGTTTCGAGATCGCTTTCGATGGGGCGATCGGTAACAATGCCGTTGATGCAGAGCTGAAGGTCACCAACAAGCAGTTCAGGATCCTGAACTCTTACTGCGAGAAGAATAAGGAGTGTGCTCATTTCGAAGTTGATTCCAAGGAGTCTGGAGAGGGTGAGAATACATTCATTTTTGTTCATCTTATTGCGACAAAGCCAGCTTTTCATCACTCAGCACAATTTACGAATAGTCAAAACATCTCACTAAAATCTAGTAGAGCGTAGTTAGGTCTTGGCTAGGGCTATAGAATTCGACACCAAAACAAACAATGTTCTCAGATCCCATTCAAAGACGATCTATTCACCTCGTTGGTACTTTTACGAGAATGATCTTCATCAGAAATCTGAATCATATCACTAACAATACCAGTCAGACGAACCTGACTAGCTCAGTCAACTTATCCTTTTGACCTCAACTTCGAGGCGTTTCAATCAACTACCTATCAGAATTCGTTCATCCGTAATCCAACAAATTTGAAACACAAACCCTTTTCTAGGAACTTTCAACATGCAAGAGTTATTGTTCATATTCTACGAATATAATAGGGTTAGTCGCTTTGAACCCGCAAAAATGCAGTGAAGTTAGGTTAGATGATGGACTCTTTCAAGATGCCTTACTCAATTTGTAATACCAGAGAGTTTAAAAACATGTCCAGTTGGGAAAGATGTGTTCACCGGCGTCAATCTTTAGCCTTATTGTAGCAGTAGAAAATAGACCGACTCTGAACAAAACAAAAAAGGACAGATAACTCATATCATCTTATATTGTGTCTGTGTATTAAAATGTAGGTCTCTACTCTCCCATTCCTCTATTTTTCTCAAATGGCTTGCGGCATGCTATTGGAGCATCACACAAGAATATCAGAAGCTCATTCAAAAAGTAGGTATATTTTTATCATTAGTCTGTAAACAGATCTTCCCAGTCAAAAGTGAACGATCTAGTGCCTCACTGGCTAATACTGCAATACATATGATCAGCATCTGCGATTTTATCAAACTCTAAATCTCTCAGTATCCGGCCATATTGGGTTCCTCTTAATGTTTACTTAGCAGCATCAGCTCTCACATCTTCTGACTGTTGTTCAACATAATTTCATCTATTGAAAAGGAATATTCTCAGATATATTATAAACATGAAAAAATGGATACATTTGAATAAATACATTGAGAATTCGCATTCTCTATGTGATGAAATTATTAATTCTTTCTCGGCATATTCAACAGAAAACAACTACTTTCCTGGCTATATGCCACGACGAACATTGAATTATATCAATTGAACATACACGATAGGAATTTGAGCATAAAATGAATATCGTCTGAAATTGAGAATTGACATTCTCTTCCAGAATCGGATGAATACTATGATGAATATAACGATATAAAAAATATATTACTTACCAAATTGGTATGAAAATTGGAATGTATGGGAGAAATATACTAGTATACATACTCTGTTCTTGTTGAGTAAGTAATATATTTTTTATATCGTTATATTCATCATAGTATTCATCCGATTCTGGAAGAGAATGTCAATTCTCAATTTCAGACGATATTCATTTTATGCTCAAATTCCTATCGTGTATGTTCAATTGATATAATTCAATGTTCGTCGTGGCATATAGCCAGGAAAGTAGTTGTTTTCTGTTGAATATGCCGAGAAAGAATTAATAATTTCATCACATAGAGAATGCGAATTCTCAATGTATTTATTCAAATGTATCCATTTTTTCATGTTTATAATATATCTGAGAATATTCCTTTTCAATACTTTCATACCCAATCAAGGGGTTCAAACTTGAACGATGGAAACTTGTTATTTTTATAGACCTTCAATCGCAGATTCGTGATTGGGTTTTTCTCAATTCAGAATTTCTTTCCACGCCCTGTATGATAAATGTCAGTTTGTCATACATCTAAAATAATTTCATCTGTTTTTCATAGCGAATTCCATTGGTAGGAACTAGTGAAGTGTTTCTCCACTGAGTGTATGTTCACCTCTGTTTAACACATGCGAGTAAGAAGGAAACATTAAGTGTAAAAACACTCCACCAGTTCCTGCCGATGGAATTCGCAATAAATAATCCTCGTATCCAATCAGCGTTGAGGATTAGCTCTTGGGTTTGAAACCTTGTCATCTTCTGTCTTTGTTTGTATATTCTCCCAGTTTTGTCATATTTAGTGATGGTACGAGACCGTGAGGATCTTACTCAAATTCTCCTCCAAAAGCTTCATGAGGAGCTTGCTGTTGTCTATGATCATTCAAGGTAGCAATGAGATTTATTACTTACTCCAAATGTTAATTGTTGTGCAGATCTGGACAACTACCAACACGTCCTCGAGATCACCGTGGACCTGCGCAAGCTGGGCATCCCCAACCAGTTCGGCCTGAAGTCTGTCACCAACCTGAAGAACCGCCAGCTGGACCACACGGTGGACGTCCATTTCCAGAGCCAAGAGAGCAGCAAGTACCAGTACAGCGTGTACCTCCACCCCAAACAGGCGGCAGTCACGCTCACTACTCCCAAAAGGATTGTGTCCCTCGAAGCAACCGTTGACACTTCCGAAGTCATAGAGAAAGGCGGTAAGGTTTCCGGCGAGGTGGCCTTCTATTTGGACAAGCAGAACCAGCCGAACAAGAAAGCTGCTGTTACTGGATCGGTGGATTACGATGTTGCCAAGAAGAGCATCAAAGGAGAGGCCAAGTTGTCGCATCCTGGTTTGAATAGGGGGGTGAGCATCACACGCTATGGATACTATACCTTTTCAACTTTAATTCCGGAACCGGTGAGTTATATTTCGGAAAGAGTAATCTCGATTTCAGAATTGGTTAGTTCGATTTCAGAAATGGTAAACTCAATTTCAGAATCGGTGAGATGAATTTCAGAAAAAGTCTATTCAATTTCAGAAATGGTAAGTTGTATTTCAGAATTATTATTGGTAGGTTCAATTTCAGAAGATGAAATCCTTTTATATGTTTGAAATGTTTTTAATTGCAAAAGATAAGATTGTTTACAGTTGATAAACGGTGTTTGAGAGCCCTATGTTGAATCAGATTGAACATATATGGGGTGTCTTCAAGACAGAAGTGAAGAGCTTCTTGCAAGAGCATCGCCAAAGGGTCATAGCTGGGGATCCGAACAACTTGTTCAACCAGATAGAATTCAGACTGCGATGTCTTGAGGAATGTGCAGATCATTCAATGAAAATCATAACACCTCAAATGTGTTTGGATTCTCATAATCATGTGCAACGCTATTATCTTCCAGCGATTCGGATGGAAGGCATCTGTGGATTAAATTGAGATTATAATTATTATGTTATTGAATGGTTTGTTAATCTCACATACAATTGGAAACATTTCGAACAAATATAAGGTTTTTTTTTCTGAAATTGAACCTACCAATTCTGAAATACAACTTACCATTTCTGAAATTGAATGGACTTTTTCTGAAATTCATCTCACCGATTCTGAAATTGAGTGTACCATTTCTGAAATCGAACTAACCAATTCTGAAATCGAGATTACTTTTTCCGAAATTGAAGTTGAAAAGGTATAGCATTCAATATTGAATTCAGTGAAGAAAATCAGCAAAATTCGATCAAGATAGAACATGATCGTCTTCTTGCTGAACCTGCTAAACCAAACAATGCTTTCCAACCTTTCACTGTCCATCAATAATTTCTAAACACTATGAGAACAAGAAGAACCTGTAGCAATTCATAAGGAAGGAAATTTCTTTTTTCTTCTTGCCTTTTCCGTGCACGTACTTCTCACAACTTTTAGCTTCCACTTGACATAGTCGCCAACTCAAATTCCTATCTGAATAACCGATTGAAATTTGTTGACTATGGTTCTTCTTAGGATATGCATCTGTAGCTTGGAGTCCACACCGTATCACTCATATTCAGACCTTGGATAGGGTGCAGAGGTGGTTGCTTGAATTTCTCGCGTTCAAAGAGGATGGTTTCATTTCCTCAGATTTGACGAACCCTTACTGTGTCAAAGTATGTGTACTGCAGTTTACTCCTCTTACTGACAGAACCTGTACAGCAGTTCTTCAGCCAGACCTACAATGCCCTGTGAGCAGTCCCACTATCATTCTAGTGGAACTTCGTTTCTGCCTCAGGAGATATTCTGTGAATGTTGGCGATGGTTTTTTAATGAACTCCTTTGCCTGTCTCATTCCTGGCGAGTTGTTCCACCATTGTTGAGATTTGCTCAACATCCATGATTTGATACTTGTCTTTTGTATAGCTTTAACAATACCACAAGGGTTCTGGTCCATTCAGAGCTTCATTAGCTCCTGCTCGGGCAAGTGCGAGCCTGCCTCTTCGATCGTTGCTAGAGTCAGTCTGTTCTGACTGCCCAGTTTGTTCATTCAGGGTTTCTATGCAGTCCTTGACCAGTTCTGAGTCAACTTGCATTGATTGCCGCCTGGCTATACGAGTAGATTGCAATGGTTTTTTACGCAATGATGTATGGCGATAATGTCTGCCTATAACACCGTCGTGTATTCATCTAAGCTCAGTGAGTCAGTCAGTCAGTCAGTCAGTCTTTGCCTTGACTCCATGAATACGAGCTACTTTGAGATATGAATCTATTCAATCCGTTGCTAAAAGTGCATTCCAAAAACTTGGTTTTCTGTTTCGGGCCAGGAGCTATTTCACTTCCAGTCAGCTGCTTATCATCTATAAGGCACAGATCCGACCTGTCCTGTAATACTGTTCCCATATTTGGAGTGCAGCACCCAAACATACCCTGAAACTGTTTGATTCTGTCCAAATAAGGGCAATTCGTCTCGTGGGTGATGCCTCGTGTTTAATTAGGGTTCGAGAATTACGAAATAATAAGATAACATTCTTCTTAGAAATGTTTAATGGTCGACTCTAGACATTGCTCTAGACAGCAATACCACAACAACCCGTAGTCCTGTAAAATACAACCCTCGTAGTCGTCTCGTAGCGTAAACACACAGAGAGAGACAAATTATGTGCGAGGTTGCCAAGTGAACCTAACAGAACATCCCCCCCTTTATATAAAGGTGCCTATTAAGATACATAATCCTTTAAATAAGAAGGTCTCTTAATTATACGAGTAGATCGAGAGCGAACACTAGCACTGTCGTTATTTTGGACCTCACTAACCGGATCACAAACTCTATCTTCACAACTTTCACGAACATTATCATTCTCGCTTGTTACTTCAGGGTTAACATCAAATTTGTGAGCATTGGGTACATTAGTACTCACATTCAAATTACCGCGAGCATTATCATCTACTTCCGAGAGTGCTGGAGTGACTTGATTTCTAAATTCAAAATTGTTTGGTGTGAACTGATAGTAAGGAGCGGGAACTAAATGCCACCGATTCCTTCGGAATGTACCACTTTTGGTTTCAACCAAATAAGATTTCGGTTCTTCTAATTGTTTCAGAATTCTGCCATACATTTTCAAATCATTCACCCAAACACCATCGTACTTTAAGTGTAGATAAATCTTTCACACGATGTCGTTTATTATAATTTGTACTTATTTTCTGTCTATACCTTCCCTCCCTTCCAAAAATAGGACTAGTATCAACATTTCGATTCAACAATTTTGGAAAAATTGGAAGTGGTGATCGAATTTTGTGATTGAATAACAATTCACAAGGACTGAACCCATTTTCCAAAGGTGTGGTCCGGTAAGCCAGAAGAGATAAATAAATATCTTCACCCTTTTTCAATAAATTCTTTGCCGTCTTAACTGCGGCCTCTATGCACCCATTAGACTGTGAATAGTACGGGCTGCTAGTTATGTGTACGAATTCATAATCCTGGGCAAACTTTTTGAATTCACTTTGAAACTGTGGTCCGTTATCTGATCTCACTATTTCGGGTATTCCATATCTACAAAACAATTCTTTCAGCTTGGTGATGATTGTTTTTTCTGTAAGTGATGTGAGTTTAAATATTTCGAAAAATCGGGAAAAATAGTCCGTCACTATAAGGTACCACTGATCGAGTTTAAATAAATCTAGGACGATTTTCTGCCAGGCTCGATCAGGAAATTTTTCTTTGATAAACGGTTCCTTTATGTTCACTCGGTGTTCTATGCATTGAGGACAGTTGCGAACTAAATTTTCAATTTCTGTTGACAGCCCTAGCCACCAAACAGACGATTTTGCCCGAGCTCTACATTTTACAATCCCTTGATGCCCTTGGTGTATAAATCCCAGACACTTGGTTTGTATTGATTTAGGAATAATTAATCGCGTTCCTCTCAAGAGGAACCCATCACATTCGGAAATTTGAAATCTATACTGATAATAAGGAGAAATTTCAGAACTTATCAACTTCCTTTGAGGCCATCCTGAATTTGAATATTCTTTCAATTTAATACAAATTGGATCTGTAACCTGTTGTTGTTTAATTTCTTCCAAAAAATATGGTTTAACCTCAAAAGATGTAGTTATCAAATCAACAAAGGTATCAGTTTCTAACACGAGTTCATCTTCATCAGGCATTTTAGTGCTTGAATCAAATTTTCTGGAAAGAGCGTCCGCGATGACCAATTCTTTACCCGGTACATAATATATTTCGTACTCATATCGCATGAGCCTCAATCGAAATCTTTGCAAACGCGGGGTCAAATCATCAATTGATTTTGTTTGAAGTACCTGCACTAGAGGTTTGTGGTCGGTTTCAATGAAAACTTTAAGATCGGAAATATATTCTGAAAATTTTCCACAGGACCAAGTTAGAGCTAATGCCTCACGCTCAATTTGCGCGTATCGTTGTTCAGTTTTTTGAAAGTAAACGAGAAGCGTAGCAAACTACTTTTTTCTGTCCATCTTTGTCTTGTTGAATTAAGCAAGAGCCTACACCAAAAGATGAAGCATCTGCTGAAATTATTATTCGCTTTGATGGATCAAAATACTCCAAACAAGGACTTTCCTGAAGTAGTTGTTTGATTTCTTCAAAAGCTCGTTTTTGTGATATACCCCAAGAATATGGAATATTTTTCTTTAACAAAGATGTTAAAGGTTCTAGAATGTCAGAACGATTAGGAATAAATCGGCTAGAAAAATTTACCATGCCTAAAAAGCGTGAGAGCTCATTTTTATCACTTGGTTCTGGAAATTTGACAATTACTGAAATTCTTTCTGAGTCCACAGGAATCCCTTCACTCGAAATCGAATGACCTAAAAACTCAAGAGAATTTACACCGAAAACACATTTGCTTTGATTTAAGGTTATACCTTCTGCTTGGATACGGCTTAACACTTCAAAAAGGATTTTATTATGTTTTTCCAAGGTAGAAGCATGAATCAATATATCGTCGATGTGAAAAATCACACCTTCAAGACCTTTTGTAAGATTCTGTACAAAAGCATTGAGAAATACTCAGGCGCGCATGTTATCCCAAAGGGAAGCCTTTTGAAAATAAAGCGGCCAAATGGTGTTATGAAACACGTCAAATCTTGAAAATTTTTTGTTAATCGAATTTGGTGAAATCCAGAAGTTGTATCTAGACGACTGAAATATTTTGAACCTTGAATCTGAGCAAGTATTCTTTCTACTTTACCGATCGGAAAATGCGTACGTAAAACGGCTTTATTTAATCTGGTGTAGTCCACACACAGACGGATTTTTTCACCTTTTCTTACTATCACAATCGGACTGACCCAAGGTGTGTGATAATCGACAGGTTCAATAATGTCTAATTTTTGTAATCGATCAAGTTCTGCTTTTAATGGATTCAATAAAGGAATAGGTACTACTCTTGGAACTGATTGTACGAATGGTTGGACATTTTCCTTAACTTTGATATCCATACTAGTTTTGAAGGTACCTATTTGATCAAATATTTTTGAAAAACTTTTTTGTATCTCATCAATTCCAAATTTGGCAATACTATTGATTTTCGAACAAAATCCATCACCAAACTGAAGAATGTTTAGATTTATAATAGCAGATCTTCCTAAGATAGGTTTACAAAGTTCTTCGATTACATAAATCTCAGTTTTGAAATTTCTGTTAATATTACATAAAGTTACATGCATAGTCCCTAGTACATTCGAAGGATTGCCTGAAGGGCCTGTTACTAGCTTACTAGTTCTATATCTGCTCCTGAGTCAATCATGAAATTGACATCTTTGTTCAATTCTAACATTTTCAATCCTATAGTCCATTCCTTATCCGAAATGTGATTGATTTGAATAGACCCTATGAAATTACTAGGTAAGGTATACATACAATTTGAACAATTGTTATCATTAGAACTGATCTCCTCCTGAGTATCTGAATAAGTATCTACTTGAATAGACCTGACCTTATTTTCTCTGCTACTCCTACAAACCGTTGCCCAGTGTCCTTGTTTCTTGCATGCTCTACAAATTGATTGATTTGCTGGACACTTGTCTCGTTCATGAGCAGCTAATCCACAGAATTGACACTTCTTCTGTATTCTTGGATCATCCTTCCTCTCTTTCCCTGGAAATCTGGAAACCCGAGAAGACTTGGCAACGCTGCTTGACGATGCCGCTCGTTTATTTTGAAATTGGTTCTGAAACTGGACACCAGAGACTGACACTGCTCCTGCGCGACACGACATCCCGCCAATTTCTTTACTTTGGCTCGCTTGAAGCTCTGCCTGCTTTACAGCTAGAACACAGTCACTAAGGGTCAAATTCGCCTGCAATTGAAGCCTTTCGCTCGTTTTTCGGTCTAGCATGCCGACAACGATTTTATCACGAATCAACTCCTCTTTAAGTGCACCATATTCACAATGTTCGGCTAACGAATGTAAACTTCCCAGATAGCACGGGACGTCCCGAAGACGTCCATTTTAGGTCCATTTTTGGTCTGAACGTCCAGGACCTTTTATGGACGTTTTTAAGACGTCCATTATTGGACATACTCCGGACGTCCAGAAAAAGACGTCTTTAAAACGTCCAATTTACAGACTCTCACGGTATATCAGTTTAAATTGATATAAGTAGGTAGGTATATATAAATTTTGAAATTAGAATTATTGAATTGAATATGGACATGAATAATGTCAAAAAATATATTATATATCAGCTGTATCAATATATTGAATTTCATTTTATTATTAATATTATGAATTTGTTATGTTGAATCATATTCCTTCAATCACATAATACCTATACAGTTTGACCATTCTTAAACCCACACTGAAGTATTCATACAAGCCGCGCTTTTATAATAAGATTTGTTTGAATCACTGAATCACGTCCTCAAAACGTCCATAAGACGTCCGTCGTCCGGAAATGGACGTCCCCAAAACGTCCTGAATGTCCAGAGTGGACGTTTTTAAAACGTCCATAAGACGTACTTGTGCTGATTGGGTTGTAATGAAAAGTTCAATTGATTCTCCCGGTTGCTGAGTCCTGGTATTGAACTTGTAGCGTTCGAAGATTATATTCCTACGCGGAATGAAATGATTTTCGAAAGCGGTCAATGTTGCCTCGTATGAGGTAGGCACTCCACGAAATTGCAACATCACTTCTTCGGCTTCTTCTCCTAAGACATACATAAGAATGTTGATCTTTTCTTCGTCGGATTTTGTATTCTGTCCAGGGGCCGTATTCTCGACAAGTGAGCTTTTTGTCGTATACGCATCAAAACGAATGGTTCATGTGCGAGTACTTTTTCGAAGTGGTATTCTTGACGACCATTCGCTTTGCAAAACGTATACGCTTGAAAACGTGCGATAGTGATGCGATCAGAGGATCCGGCACCACTGTAATATTTCACGAAAGTCATGAAATGGTCCGTTGATTCAAGTTCTGTGAATATGTGAAAAATTCCGCGCGAAGAATCTAAATTTTTAGACATTTTTTATAATGCATAATTATGTGTTGGATGAATCAAATCAATCTAAAAATTATTCACAGATGAAGTGGAAATGAATAATTTGATCAAAAATAATAATAACATAATATACTATTCTTCATTCACATCAGTTATCATATACACATAATAATCCAGTAAATAGAGATTCATTAGATTAGAAAAACATAAATATACAGCAATAAATAATAATAAATGATAATGTATAATAATCAATAATACAGCATCATGTAATCTCCTCAGCATTGTTTGGACATTTGAACTATTCCATATAAAAGCATCATTTGTTTTACCAGGAAACCGAATTCACATTAACAATTTTCAAACTGTAGTCACAAATTAATTGTACATTTATTAAATGATAGTTTTTCTCTATTTACATAGATATTTTCAAGATGTTCATAACCATGCACTTTTGGAGGAAGAATAGCTATATATGTGAGTGCAGTCGTTGATTGATATATTACGCTTACAGCGTAATATATCACTCAACGGTGCAGTCAAACAGCTATCACCCTTGGAAAATTATATTTTCTGTTGAATCTGTATAGAAAGGATTTTGAAACATCACTTATTGTTCTTTAGCAGATTCAACTGGTAAATATATTGGCAGGAAATTAAACGAATCTTCGGAAAATTTCAACTTTGTTCCAGAACCTCAACGATTTTGTTCACACGTCTTGAAACATAAGACTGGGACACATTGAAATTGCAGCTCATTTATATTTGGTAACATTCTCATGCAAAAAACCGTAAGGAAACTAATACAGTAAACAGTATAATGTGTATCACCTCTGTGATAGTTATTGGGTATCAACTCTTGTGGAGATACCCAAATCTTGAGCACGATGTGCAGGTCATGTAATAAAATCAGAGGTAATATTCATTAGGTAATGAACTTATTCTTCTTAGAAGAGGCGAAACATTTTGACGAGCATTTTGATAAATTGGTTGTAACCCAAATCATCAGTGATTTCCACGCTACTGTATCTTCGCCAATCTATTTGTTCCGCATCTTCCATCACGTCAATCAACATCAACTGTACAACTATTTATTCAGATGATATGAAACTCAAGAAAGATTCATCAGAGTCCATAATGGTTCTCCAATATAAATAAACAATAAAAATATTCAACGTCACAAATCAACAAAACGAACGAAAACATACAGAACGAGTGAAATGAAGCGCTCGCTGTAAACGCTCGCTTTGAAAACGTACACGCCTCATATTTCACTGGTCAAGAATACCAAAACGTACGAAACTGTCAAAGTGCGCATACGCATCTAAAGTTCACTCGTCGAGAATACGGCCCCAGACACTGACATAAATCGTTCGAATCTTTTCCGCCACTGAGGCCATGAGGCAGGCACTGAAAAGTCGAATTTGTTCGGCGGAGACACCGGCACGGATATGGACTGAGCCACCGACATCACAACGGAATCGTTTTCGTCGCTTCTAGAGTCACCTACGGTCTACGGTTTTTATATTGCCGTAGCCAACAACGACATGCGTTTTCGATTGAGAAATCACTTGGTTAGGGGACTAACACTTACACTGTCACTACCGCTGCCACCATGTTTAATTAGGGTTCGAGAATTACGAAATAATAAGATAGCATTCTTCTTAGAAATGTTTAATGGTCGACTCTAGACATTGCTCTAGACAGCAATACCACAACAACCCGTAGTCCTGTAAAATACAACCCTCGTAGTCGCCTCGTAGTGTAAACACACAGAGAGAGACAAATTATGTGCGAGGTTGCCAAGTGAACCTAACAGAACACCTCGCTCACAAACTCACTCACTTCTCTGGAACACCGTAGAAAAGTTCTCGATCTGGCTCTATTTCATAGATATTTTCATGGACGATACTCTTCTAAAATATCAATAATTGTTCCTCCCTTGGCAGTCCCCGCGAGATTAACCCGTCAAGTTGAGGTTTCGCACTCCTTCGTGGTCACTTTGAAGACCTGCAGAAAATCTCTTTCCAAAGACTCGTTCATCCAATGAACATCGAGGCTCTGGAACACATTTTCATGGGAGGTATTCCCCGAGGCATAAAACCTCCAGAAATTCAAAAAGAACACCAGCTCCTACCTTATTTCGTGGGAACTACTACATAGAAAAAAAGTAGTTTTCACTGTGTTATAAATTGTATGTACTTCCCATTATTTCTTCAAATACTAAGCATATGTTATCTCTGATTTGAATTTTCCAGTCATTATCAGTAACCTTCGCCTCCAAGCTGAACGAAAACAAGCCTCTGATCGACTACGACATCTCCCTGGAAGCGATAGCAGACATCTTCGCCGATCCCGCTCAGAAGCTCGTGACCACATACAAGTACGAACAACGCGTCAATGCCAAATTGGTCAGCTTCCTCGAGAACATGGAAATCAAGAGTGCCGGCTTGGGAATCGATTCGCGCTACGCCCAAGAAGGGAAATTCAACAGAGAATCTCTGGACGGCTTTTACAACGCCCACGTCACTTACCAAGTGGGAAATTCCAACTACAACAACGCTATCAGTCTAAAGGGCGGAAGGAACAACTACGAGTTGCTATTGAAACTGCTCAATGTCGAGTTGCTCAAGGCCACCGGAAAGATGAACCTTAATAAGGAGTCTCAGACCATCGACTCGGAGGTTTCCTCCTACAACAAGGAAGTGCTAGTCAGTCATGTTGAAATCAAAAAGCTCAGTACCATATTTGCCACGGTTGGATTCAAAAGTAAGTCTCGAACCCAGTCATTGTCGATCTGAAAAAATATTAATGATAAGATAGTATATGTAGTCGTGCTGCCTCTCAAGAAACGTTCACACTGGCAGAATAGGAGTATGGCGATACGCCCCCTACCGGACTTCGAGGAAACCGACCTATGCATGGGCCATTATCATCTGTCAATCGTCGTGATTCTCATTAGTTTGAGGTGTATTTCAACGTTAGAGACATTGTTATCTAGTAGTTTTTGTGATATTTGCCAAAGATTCATATTTTTCACAATGAATCATTATTGTTCGTGTTCCCTAATGTTCATCTTGGGTGAAAAAAAAACCCTGAATTAGGTTTTCATACGTTTCTTAGAGCAGGACAACATAATGTTTTTGTAGAAACAAAGTTGGGAAACAGGGAGAAAATTGATAAGAGACAAGCGTGGATAAAAGTTGTTGAAAATTGGAAAAAAACATCTATTCACTTGAGGATGTGTTCTTTACATTCCGCTGAAAGTGATTTTCTTCAGAAAGGAAAGTGTCAAACTGTCAAGAAAATGAAAATAATAAGAAGACTAACTCAAAAATATTTTTTGGATATCTTTATATGATCTAGCAGTTTATTTCGTCTTCCAGAAAGAGTTAAACGTTAAACGTTAGAACATTGAAGCCTAGAGCTGGTCCATCAAGAAATCTGCCAAAAGTTTATCATGTACACTAAGAGGCTTAGCTTCATGTCTAAGAATATGTAGAATTTACTTAATAATAATTCAAGTTCAGGTGTGATAACATACCTGGATAATGAAACATAGTAAACAATATTTAATGGCCCATATAGCTATAGGCTTCAACCCTCACCGTCTGCAGCGCTGAAGCGTATGGATTATGACGTGATTCTAATGATTGAGTTTGACTCTGAATTCGGGTTTCCCCTCAGGAATCATTGTAATTATCAAATTATTAAACAATTTTATGAAATATGATGAAATATGATCATCTTATAAAGAGGAAAACTTCAACCTTATGATCACGTCATAATAATATGCCATAAATTTGGACAGGTGTAATATTGCATTCAAAATCAACCAATAAAAGCGAAGGTCAACGCTTCCCTATAGTGTCTCACGCTGTTTTCTTACTTTTGGGTGTATGATAAATTGACATTCATCATACAGGGCGTGGAAAGAAATTCTGAATTGAGACTCTATCACGAATCTGCGATTAGAGGTTAATAAAAATCACAAGTTCCCATCGTTCAAGTTTGAACCCCCTGATTGGGTATGAAAGTGTTGAAAAGGAATATTCTCAGATAAATTATGAACATACAAAATTGGATATATATTTATATGAAGCAATACATTGAGAATTCGCATTCTCTATGTGATGAGAATATTTACTTTCATCACATAGAGAATGCGAATTCTCAATGTTTTGCTTTATATAAATATATATCCAATTTTGTATGTTCATAATTTATCTGAGAATATTCCTTTTCAACGCTGTTTTCTTAGTTGCCATGGATTGATTATAGTAGGTTAGTGGGTACCTATATTACTATCTGCTCACTAACCTCGAATCTATCTGCCTTGTCATTGTCGTTGCTGTACAGAAAACTGTCAATACACATTTTTTTCGCTACAGATGGCACTGGCGATGTTGGCGGTCATGTTAACATGGTAACTGTCAAGTTTTGTTTGTTCAATCTCTGATAGAAGCCCATATTATTTGCTCAAAGTGGAGTGGAGCGTTTCAAAGAGGAGGAAGAACGCTCATTTACCTCCACGAAGTGTGTGTGTGACTTCGAGCTTTCTTCCCTTTGTTCTGTTTGTTTATTCGCAATACTGATATTTATTCATGAAACTTCAATAACAATCGGTATTGAACGATAATAACTACAGAATACCAGAACAACTAGGTATCTCTCAAAACTCTATACGTATAATTCTTATGCTTTCCATGTGATGTGGATACACCGTTTACGTATTGATGAATTCTTGGAGCAATTTCAATGTTTCAGTAGCGTAAAAATTATGAAATAATACTATGTAGTTCTATTTTGGATCAAATATCTCGAAAACTCTTATTTTAGCTCAGTGTAAGCATGATGCATCTTTTTAAGAAAATTGTACAATTAATTCGATAAATTGAAAATGAAATTTTATCAGTGGCGTAGAAAATATGGTAGGGAAAGTTACCACAACTCTGTAGCAACCACTGGCATCACTTTCTACTATTTTTATTCCACAACTTCAACACCCTGTATCTCGAGAACGACGAGAACTAAACACTTGAAGACTTGTGTATATCCCTATCTCAGTAATCATGAAAATACCAGTCAAGCGTTGTCGGTCGCATTTTGAAACACGCTGTACTCTTCTGTGTAAATCTCAACTGAATTTCGATACCCATCTTCAGATACTCCGAAAGATAAGCTTCAGTTCAACGCCGGATTGGTACCTGGACAAGTTGCCGATTTGCGTGCAGACCACTTGACCAGCGCCGGTAAAACCAACCTCTTCCAAGCCTCCCTCAAACTGGACGAAGCCAACTTCCTCAAACCCGACTACAGCGTCAACTCCAAGGAAATCGAAAAGGTCATTGCTAAATCCAGACAGAGACTCACCAATTACATCAGGTAAAACATGCATAAGTAATGTATTTGAATGGTTTATTACTGAATTACAGAAGCACGACAGGTAGCACATATGACGTCTAGAAGACGACATCACTATCGGCAAAAAGGCGTATTGAATAACATCCAAACTGACGTAAGTAAGTCACAGCGGAGTGACGTCACGTTTTAGGACTTTTGGACTTCAATGCGGTGTTCAATTATAACTTGAAACTGACGTTGTTGACTATAGTTTTGGACGTCGTAACGACGTCTATTCTTCGAGCCATATGCCCAAACTTCTCGTTTTGAAGTTTGTTCTAATCATCACTTGAATGAGGAACAATTTGATAAGAGGAAACCTTGTTTTCATATGATATATTCATTCATTACAGAAATTACAATCATTCGAAGCTCAACTCAAATTCAGAACAATCAACAGATCAATTTCTATGTCCACGAATATTTGGAATTAACTAAACTCACTGTATTTCATATAAGAATTCCGATATGAAAACAAGAAATGTTAGCTAATTTCATGAAGATATCGATGGGTTCACCGTCGCAGAAGGAACTTGTAATTGACGGTCATCTGTCATTTGCATGATATGACAACTATTGCTGATGTATTCAGGGAAATTGAATTCATTATACATTCATTTTCGAAATACAACATTGAGGTGAAAAAATATCGTCACTATAAGCTACCTAGAAATGATCAGATATTGACAGTTGACATGAATCGTAACCCTCAGCTAGAATATTCTACTGCCATCTGATGCTTTATTCTGTGAGGATCTATTGAGCAATTATCATTCTTGAATCTCAATATTCATTATTCACCAGAATAATATAACGGAGTAGTAATTGATGTAAATACGGCAGCATTGTGAAGAGGTACAAACTGCTCGGTTCGGGTTTGATTCATGTTCGGCTACATTCGTGCTGACGACTTTTGTGTCGCCTGAATAAGAAAATGCTGTGATTAGTGGGATTTCGTGGGCTAATTTGTACATTATCAAAAGACAACCCTCTCTGAGATTAACAAGTGTGTGAAGACCAGATATTGACGTCCGCAAGACGTCCAGAACTTGCCGTCTATGTGACGTTGGGAAGACGACGTCATTTTGACGTCATGATTTGGAGAAGTAACGAATGGGACCATAAATGACCACAATTAGCGGTCCTATAGACGTCATTTTCGTCAGTGTGGCTACCTGGGCCATGTTACGAAACATCAACCAATTCGGAAGAGAATATCAGATTGTGATTCACCAATTGACTCCTATAAAGGCCAAGCTATTCAATGAGAATTTTCCTTCGCTTGAATTCTTATCAAATTAGTTTCACACTGATTTGAATTATGCTTCTGAACTCTATAATGACAATTGAGATGAAACAATAATTTTCGAACTAGAACAAATTAGGCAATCCAACAACCTGTCAAACTATGCACTGGTTGGCACAAAATAAAATTATTCATGTGTGATAAATCGTTTTTATATACGAAATCCTGTTGGAATATACGTACAGTGTCATCCATGAAGTTGACATCATACAGGGTGTTTCAAAAACCAGACCCCCTTGCTAGGATAGGTAGAACACTGCAAAATGAGTTGGATTTGCTCAGTAAAAAAATGTTGTAACAGCATCCGTTTTCAAGATACAAGGTGTTGAGAAAATTATTTTTTTACACATTTTTCACGATTATGTCGAAACTACTGGCACCATTGTGATGAAATATTTTATGGATGTTTTTTGGAATCTGACACATGGCATGAATTTGTTTATCTATCTGACTCTCATAGATGGCGCTAGTTACACGGTTCATACCTGTAGCTTTAAACATAACTTTCTTGAGGTTAGATTTTTCAATCCGAATTTGATGTGAACTTGAACATCATTCAATTTCACACCAAAAAGGTACTCTTGTTGCAACTGATGGAAACTGTCTTCCGTTGTCGAAATATTCCGATTTGAAAATGATTAAGTGATAACTGTTGCAGGTATAAAGCTATGTATTAGAGTGAGTTTTATAAAAAATCATCACCTATTCATTCATTGCGAACCGAAAAAAACAATGCATTCCTAATGCTAAACTTATTGATTTAACAATGATTCATAAGAATAACATTGAAACAAATTTTACTAATAACATGGATTACTTTCGTTGTATCAAGCAAAAAGTGTATGTTACAGAGGTGAATTCACGTCTGGAGTTGCAAGTCAGAATTGAACATCACTTTGGTGACCTTTCAGCCGATCCTCAACCGTTTAGAGAAAGAAACAATGCTTTCATAAAAAAAAATATCGAATCGTGTGTTCGTGGAAATGGAGAACACTTTGAACACTTTAACTGATTCAATATATTTTATGTTTATGTTTCTAGTCGAATATTTCTCAATGTTCTACTTGTGATTCTTCGTTCAATCAATAACCACAGCACAAGAATGATGTTATTGTTTTTGAATCTGAATGAACAAGTAATTGATCTCAATGAAATTCATTTCATACGAGCATCAGCTATTACTCCATTATTATCAAATCATGTTTGAGTTCACATCAAATTCGGGTTGTAGAATCTAACCTCAAAAAAGTTACGTTTAAAACTAATCGGTAACTAGCACCCTCTATGGGAGTCAGATATAAAAACAAATTCATGCAATGTGTCAGGTTCCAAAAATCATATATACAAAATGTCATCACAATGTTGCCAGTAGTTTCGACGTAATCGTGAAAAATGTGTAAAAAAATCATGTTTTGAACACCTTGTATCTTGGAAACGGATGCCGTTACGACATTTTTTTACTGAACAAACCCAACTCATTTTGCAGTGTTCTACCTACCCTATCAAGGTGGTCAGGTTTTTTTGAATCACCCTGTATATGGGAAAAACTTTAAACAATTTATTTCGAAATTCGACATTCTGAACATTCTATAACAACTTTTAGTTCTCGATATTCTTTGAATTTGTACGAAATGTCTGTAATATAAAAAAAAATAGCACAGATAAAACTATTCAATTCTAGTAGCTTGATCAGGCTACAAACTTTCAATCACCAATTATCGACGAAAATATATGATTTCATTCAGAAAATGATAATCCCCAAAAGTCTGATATATTTGATGCAAAGTTGATGTAGGTATCTTCTATCGTTCAGTAGCGAAGTTGATGCGAAAGTCATGCGAAAGTCATCTATCGAAATATCATCAAACTAACTTACGTATATTATGTGAACAAAGTTTAGGACAGTTTTGTCGAAGTGACAATTGGAAGAATTGAAAAAATATCAAGAAACGAAAGTAGCAATAGAACGTCCAAATTCGCGACACATGTGTAAAATTGGAATAGAAACAACTTTTCCCTGTAAACTATTTCGAAATTCGAACAAATCAGCCTATTTTCAGCGATTGATCTGAAATTAATGCAACTTTAGACATTTAGCAGAAGTCACGTGACTCTTATCGAGTATATATGGCCTAATACTCCTTTTTGAAGCAAGTCTTAACGCCCAAGTCAAATTTCTAAGTGAATTTTTGTTTTAACATATGATGCCAACTCAATGAATGACACCGTTATAATAAGTTTTTTCTACATTCATGCAGAAAGCAGAACTTTATTGAACTATATTTAGTGGAAAAAGAAGTTCTTTATTGCACTTAGTGCAATAAAGTTTTTATTGCACTCATCTGTCATTCTACTTCAACGTGTTGTCATCATGACAAACATTTTTATATTGCAACTGTGGTTATAGAAATGTCAGTCAAAAATTGATTCTGACAATTAACAGAATTGTACCTAGTGCCGCACCCCAATAAATCATTTTTTGCTTTTTGCATGAACGTAGAAAAAATGTTGTATATGTTACTCGTGCAAAAATTGTTTATTGCACTCGACGTGTTGTCCAACTCGGCCTCTTTGCACTTGTTGCATAAATAACTATTGATAAACCTCATGAAGACATGAAAATCTCATAATTTTTCATTATTTTTTCTCTCCCACCAGCGGCATCCAGAACATCAACAAAGAATGGAGCAACGACATCCGCAAGGAAGTCACTCAGCTGGGCGAGATCTCCAGGAAGGCCGCCCCCGATCTACAGCCCCTCAGGCAGTACTACGCCTCCGAGGTAGACAAGCTCCAGAAGGAGATCCTCGACGACAAGAGCCTCAAGGAAACCGTCGAGGTCCTGAGCAAGCTCTTCGGCACCATAGGTTAGTATTTGGGAGTATACATTGATACACACTTGAAATAGGATATTCATCACAAACTGTAGGCGGGGGTTGCCTAAGTTGTCTTCTAGATCCATTAGAGAATGAACTTTAAAAGTGATAATAATAAATAATACTCGAAAGGGTTTTCAAACAACACATTCTTATACACACATTCATTCTTGGAAATGAATAACAATCAAAGAAAAACTTAACTTACCCTATATTATGTACAAATGAACCAATATTGATGTGAGGAAGGGTATCTTCTGTTCTGCCCGAGCTCCGAAGGTTCGGGCACAGTGGCAACTTTTCAAACTTACAATGTATATAATTCTTTCCTAACACGTGTTCATCAAAAGAACGAGCTAGAACTCGATCTGTCAGTCGAACTGGCAGTCAAACTCGCAGTCGAACTGGTAGTCGAACTGTCGAACTGGCAGTCGAACTGTCGAACTGGTAGTCGAACTGTCGAACCCGCTTCCTTACGTCTTTTAAATATTTTCGGAAACGTGGCAGTAAGGAAATCAGGTTGATAGTCCAGGTTCCTTGAAGTCTATGTCACGCCTGTGTTTATGTTCAACTACTATGGAAAAAAGTTCGTTCACGATTCTGAAATTTTGGAATTAATAATCAAAGACGTGACCGTTCAATGACTTCGAACGTTCTATGAATTTGAATGAAATTAAGGAAAATAACCCTATTCGTGACAATACGAGGATGAACAGAAGATGGTGTAGACACTTCTATCAAATCCCATCTACAGTTTGTCGGTCAAAGTTCTTGACCTACGGCCTACTCAACAGAAGGATTCTATTCAATATCGCGGAATATGGGTCGCATTTTACCCGTTAGATGGCGAAATCTCAACAAAAATTCAAGGTTTTTAGAACTGATGATAATTGAAATTCACCAAAATTACAGTTTCGTACTTTCAAATTTCTTCTCATTTGGTTCAAGGATATGTTATGAATGTAATGATATTATTATTTCTGGTGCAAGCGCCGTTTTATGTTTTCTGTCATGAAAGAAATCTGTAAAAAGTGTCGATAATTTTCTGTTTTCAATTCAATGTAATATCTTATCAATATTGATTCGTCCTTCTTTCTGTCAAAGAAAAAAATAGTGTAAACACGGGAAAGATGACACATTTTAGCTCACGGTTTTCTGTCTCTCTTCGCTACACGACGGGAGACAGCTGAAATCTACTACTTTTTTCCCTTGTATAATAAATACCTATTGTTATTTCTATTGTTGCCATTGTTGTTATAACATGAAAACTCCGGGAAAATATGTCTAACTTTCAATCTAAGCCAAGAGTTAGGAATGTTTTCCCTTAGTTTTCATGTCATCGCAACGTCAGACGATGACCTTGACTAGCGCGAATTAATTATTCAGTTTCGACCACATTTCGTGCTGTTATTTTTCATTATTTCAAAGTTTATTCATTCTTTGATGAAGGTCTGTTTCCTATGTTTCTCGAAACAACTGATTAAGCACTTTTCAAGTAATGGGCGAGTGGATTGATAATTAATTGTTGGCATTCAATTCCTCCACAGTCATTAGGAACCTAAATCAATTTTCGAAATTGTTTAATGTCAAAGCTCATTTCAAACGAACCTTCATTGCCATGGCGATACGTTGAACAAATGGTGACTTCAGTTTTTATGCTGTTTTGTTATTGGTCAGATAAATTTAGAGTCATGTCGTCAGGGGCGTATTTACCTAAGGGCCAAAAGGGCCATGGCCCGGGGCGGCAGGCTGCGAGGGGCGGCGCAAGCCGCACCACGCTTAGGTTTTTTTTTTACTTTATTCCTCCGATCCTCCGAAGAAATGGTCAGCGAGGGACGATGCTTGTACCAGCCTTAATAATGATTGGAGCCAGATAATAGCGGCTCTTGAAGCTATAAGAAGTGACTCTGCATACCACAAAGCCTTGGTTAAAAATGAAGCGGCTGGGCTATTAGCTCAACTAAATTCTCTAGAAACTGCCATATTATCGGAATTTTGGGGATCTGTATTAAAACGATTTGGTATAGTTTCCAAAATACTACAAGGTGTCGACACAGACGTAGAAGTAGTTTCCAGGCTTTACAAGTCACTCATTACTTTTGTAGAAGAACAACGGGAATATTTTGATTCTTTTGAAAAGGCTGGTGAAAGAAAATGCACAGAAGAGTACCGGAACATTCACAATAGAATTGTCAAGAGAAAGAAACGAGACGATGAGAGTAGCGTGGGAGAAGTGGTGTTTCAAGGACGGGATCATTTCAGGGTTAATATATACCTTCTTTCCAATATGCGACCGATTATTGGGCGAGTTAAGGAAGCAAAAAACTTCGTATGAGGCGGTAACCGCCAATTTTGCATTTTTATGCAAATTGGATACAATGTCTGCTTCAGAAGTGAGATTAAATGCCATAAAACTCCAAAAAGTTTACCCTATTGATCTGGCGGATGATTTACAAGAAGAATGTGTTGTCTTAAAACAATTCCTGACGTCTCATGAAAATAAAATGAGTTTAAGGCAACTCAGCTTATTTATTAAGAAAAAAGATTTGAAGGAAGCATTTCCATATCGATACCCTAATGCTGATAAGTCGTAACCCACAAAAAATTGAAAAATAGTATTTTTTCACCAGAGGAAAGTACACATGCATTTCTATATACTGTTAAATTCTCGTAACCCAAATAAAATGATAAATCGGTGATTCCCGCGATTTCCAACATGTCTGAACCCACGTACGGCATTTATATCACGTCTAACTAGTCGTATCCCACAGTGCAGTTCAAACGAGCATAGCGTGTTGATAGCAGCTGACTAGTTTGAAATGGTGCTCTGCATTAGTGAAACGAGAAAATAGGTTTTACCTCGGCGTCAAAGAAGCATCTTGTATTCGTATTTTAATATAAAATACCAAAAACCTTTTTTTTTATACAATAATATGCCTGTTGGAACCAAGTTGTGGTTTACGATGTATTCGAACAAACTGTGTTTACTTATTTATTTTGTGGGTTACGTCCGTTTCCTAGTTTTCATAATATTATTCGTTTTTCGTGCCTCCTGTAAAATTTCATTGAGTTGGGTTACGACATGTCAGCATTAGGGTATCGATATATTGAAATAGCATTACGAATATTTCTGTGCACTGCGGTGACCAATTGTAGTGCAGAACGGTCATTTTCTGTACTTAAAAGAATAAAAAATTATTTACGTTCTCGTTTAAGCGAAGAACGTTTGAATAGTTTAGCCATTGTCGATCTAAATGAAAACCTAGTAGGCGACCTAGTACGCGAGGAGGTACAATATTGTCTGTTCTTTGAATCAAAATCTGTCTGCCTGTCAAGTGGCGCTGGCATCCTGAAAATGGAAAAAGCTCATTTGTTTATGTCAAAATAGACCATATTAGGTTGATATTGTCTTCTTCTACTTTTTTCCAATATGTTAATCAACCACAGATGTGCTTTCCATCATTGACGTGATATTCGATACAAAGGCGATGAAGAAGATTCTTTCATGAGATTGAGATGTCATAATCAAAAAATTATTTTCTGACAGTTGTCATTCTTATAATTTCGTCTTTGTGAATATGTTGAACTTTGAATTCGTATTCTTGAAAATTACAATTATTCCTAATTGTTTCTTCTAGTATTGGTTTTCTATTGCAGTTTGTTGATTGGTTTGTGAGTGCGATTGTGTTATTTTGCAATGTTATCTGAAAACTTAGCACTCCAGGAGGTGGAGGTGTAAAATTATCAAGACCTGGTTTCTCCTATCCCCACTGTTGTGAATTTGAAATCCTGAGGCATCAATGAGTTTATGCCATATTCATTGGATTGCAAGGTGAAATTTTTTTCTTAAATCGTATAATATTTGAAACTTGATGCATTGATATTTCAGGAATGGAAGTTTTTGAAGTGAGCGAACATGATACTGTATGTTTCCAACATTATAAGGGAACTGTTTCTTGCCAATGAAGAATTGGAAACGGTTTTGGAAGGAGGGTTTCGGTTCCAAGTTTGTTTAAGGAAGGTATATATAAATAAAATGATATTTAACAAGTTCCTACCTATACAAACTTTTTGTAGCAATCAGCTTATTAGTTTCTAGTTGACTAGAACTATAAGTTTCAGTATAAAAATTACCAAGAACTTGACTTTGGTACCTCTAAAAATTGTTCCAGTCAATTGTCATTGAATTCATTTCAGAATGGTACAGAACATTGAAACTGGGGACAAAATAGATATCAAATATTTTTATAGTTTCAGACTCATCAATGTAGTTTGGAATATGATGCTGAAGAGAAACTCCTTCCTTAAGGAACACGACCTGAAGATGAGGAAGCATCTTAGGAGGAAACGGGCATTTGAACAGATATTATAGAATGATAATAAATAATAATAATGTTTATTCAAAATTTTGACAATATAAATTAAAAAGTTATACATACTTATTGGTATTGAATATTCCTATGGTTTAATTTGTGGCAATTATAGACACATCTTCTCATATTTAGTGAAGTTAGTGGCTTCAATAAGATGATTTTATAAAAAATAATCATTGTTCAGCAAAACATATTATATGTCAATAAATCTGTACAACAATAAACAGGGTATCAGAGGAGAACAATTTAGTAGAATAAAAATTGCAATAATTCTTCATAATTATATTCAATTTATTAAAAAAATATAATTGTATTGTCATTCCTACATATGAAAGTTATTTTCCAATAAAAAAAATTCTAAATATCCCAGCATCTTGATATTTTGAGTTAGGAGCAGAATATCCATAAAACATTGATGAAATAAACAGATTGAGTCTAACCTTATTGCTTCTATATATTCATTTCAGATGGGAAATTTTCCATTCTGTTCTCAAACATCATCATCCTTCTGGTACATTTCTTCTAAACATTACTCACAATAATTCCTCATGCGATTCTTCCACATCAATCTGTTTGTATCACTCATAGTTTTTCGTTTTTCAACTGAAAAGCTATTCATGTAGGTACTCTTCGCTGTAGGTAAGTACCTGAAATTTTCAAGTATAGTGAATCCGATGTGTACATAGTTTACATAACTAAAGACATGTTTTCACTGCAAATAACGGAATTTCATGAATTATATAGTAACTTATCAAACATATAGAAGGAAATAAGCAGCCCCTACCTTTCTGCTTGGCTTGCATGTCGAAAAAGTGTGAAAGCACTGATGAGTTTCCGAAGTTTCCACAGTTCCAACTTAAATTCAAGTTGCATCATAAGTCAACCTAATACAGCATTGCCTAAACATCTCCCTGCTTCCATTCAAGTATAGGTAGATGGTTTTCATACTTGATAATATCTTTCATGATAATGTTTCATTTTTGGGTTTCAACATGACAGATTTTTATTTACAAACTTGACAGGACCATGAAAAATGTTTGGGTTAGGAATAAAAAAGGAATAACTTAGTTTACTTGGTTCACATTGATGTCTCTGTACTACTGAACGCCTTCATTTATTTTTTCAAAGAACAGACAATATTATGCTCTCGCCTACTAACTACCTAACTAGGTTTCCATTTAGATCGACAATGGTTTAGCTATTCTCAATATAGAAGCTGAACTGACAAATTCCATCAATTATGACAGTGTTATTGACGAATTTGTTAACCAATCTGTCCATCGAAAGAAAATGTAAATATCGAATAAATAGTGTTTATTTCTTTCTTTGGCCTTCTCAATTTTTCCATTCATTAATATCATTCTCAACCCAATATACTGCTGGCTTTCATTTCATGATTTAATGTTTTGCTCATTTTCCGTTGATTTATGGGGCGGCAAACCCTACAGGCCCGGGGCGCTGAATATTGAAATACGCCCCTGCATGTCGTTGAATAAAACATAATAGGAGGAACCCATGGTATTATGGTTCGTTTGAACCAAAAATTCTTAAAAGATATGAAATTGAGAGATATTTGATTGATGATTCCATTCAAGAAATAGAAAAAAATTGTACACTCGCCTATTATGCCACTTCGTGAGTAAATATATTTATTATTATTATTATAGCCCGCTCCGCTGGTGAGATATTCCTGAAGCTCAGCGAGATCGCCGAAAGTCTGGTACACTCGCTGCAAACGACTTTCGCCGGGATCGTGGAGTCCATCGACAAGGAGCTGATGCCGCAGCTGAGAGCCGTAGCTGACAAGATCTCTGTTGCCGTTGGAGATGTCGCGAACACCGCGGTGGAGATCCTAGCTGCGTCGTTGGCCACCGTCAGCGAACTCTTCGAAAAGTAACTATCTGCTGACTGAATATTCATAATATCATCATATCTCGTAGTGGCAGAAGGCCTCGAGCTCGTGGGTATTAAATGCTGAGATGTGTTTAGGCTGGGTCAGGTTTGCACCAGATAACGGTGATGAATGCCATCTGGGGACACCCCTGCACTGATGAGAGTGAAAGTTCAAAACTGGTCTGTAGGTAGTCAAGCGTTTCTGAACAATTTAAGCACAGCTCAGCATTCAGGAAAGAATCACTCGCAATCTTATTTGTCTATACGAATCGTTGCATAGATTTCAAGAGGATGTGATCCAACTTTCTGCGTGGCATATAGTCAGGAAAGTATTTGTGTTCCTCTTGTTATCTACCAGTCTCATTCATTTATGAACATTTGTGGAAATGACTTTGAGCTTCGCATATTCATTTTCTATTTAAATAATGTATGTTTAATGTTAGGTTAGGTCCACTCTGCTGCGCTCGTGCTTAAAATACTCGTTACTGAAATGACGTTCATAACACTTGGTACATAATATACTACTGTATCTGTGATTACATATGTATACCGGATGTTTCATAACGCGAATGAAGCCTGCTTCTACGACTTTTGTGAATGGGAACTTTTTTATTTTCTTGAGACGCCCTATCACCTCTAGAAGTGCGTTCCACATATTACGAAACACCCTGTGAATACTTCGTCAAAATATACGTCATTTAACATTTTGAAAATATCTATTTTTTTTATTCGTAGGTACCAACCGGAGATCAAGCAAATCCTTGCCGCTGTTGGAGAAATTGGACAGGATGCTGGTAGGTTCATTCAAAAGGGTTACGCAGAGATCAGGAAGATTGTGGCTGATGTATTCAAGAGAATTTCTGAGGAGGTCAAGGCTCTGCCGGTATTTGAAGAACTCAAAGCTCAATACGAGGAGGTAAGACAATACCTATATTCAAATCTAAGGTCTGGATTGTGAATAAGTTGTCGATCAAACGTCCAACTATTATAGATTTTCGGGCTACTCCAATGAATCACATGCAATCTCTTTAATAGAGATAGCAGAGAAGTCTGAAACTAATATTCAGAATTATTGGACAGTTGCCGTTGTTTTTTTGGACTTCTTTGATTAATAACATAATGACCCTTAGTGAAAACGCAATTTTATGTTCCAGCTTCTACACAATGGTTTTGACAACGTGGATGGTATCGTCGGAGGATTGAGAGAAATCGCTGCTACCATCAAAGACCTGATTCCTGCTGAATTGCCCATCACTTCTGAAATCAATGCCATTATTGACACAACTGTGGATTACTTGGAAAAGGTAAATTTTATGATTTTTTTATATTGATGGATATATCTTGTAGAAACTAGTATGATAAAGTAGAGTTTATCACAGTATGAGATTAGTCACCTGTAAACCTAGGATCTAGACTTTGGTTGAAGCTGGAGGTGAAACAACCAGAACAGTAATTTATTCAATTTGATTAAAAATATTTTTCGATCAACTGCTCAACTTGATTTATATCCACTAATAAGACACACGCTGGTTCCAAACTGTAGATGTTGGTATTGCATGAAATTGCATATTATGAAATCACTGATGATATCCCGAAAACCTGGTCTTTTCAGTCTATATAATATCAGTTCATGTTATGTAAATAAAAAAGCTATCACTACTCTGAATAGTATGCTAGTAGGCATAATATTGTCCGCTAACTGATCTGTCTGATGACTTATCATTGCTGCTGCTGTACAGAAAACTGCCAAGAACTAAAAATCAATCAGCATCAATGAATCGAGCTTAGGTATATTTCTTTATGCATAATAGGTACCTATGCTTCCTCCATCTATTCAAGTATAGATGCTGTTCATACTTGATATATCTGTTAATAATAAGAGATTATCTTTCTTGACAAGATCAAGAAAATTGTATAGGTTAGGAATATGAAATGAATAATTATTTAGATCACATAGATGTCTCTACGGTACAAAAAACAGTCACAATATGAGCGATTGTCACTATCCCACTTAGAACAAAAGGTAAGGAGTCTAGGAACGGGATTGAATCTGCAAGTCATGTTTCTTCACAAATTCATCATCCTATGATGAAGAAGTTTCCGTCGAACGAATCATCATAGAATTATTATTCAACTAGGTACCTAGTATCAGGATTCAAATTATTCAAATTATTGTGGTTCTCAAGATACAAAATTTATAATTATCAATGAAGCAGACTACTAGACGTACTACCAGGTAAAAAATAATTTGCCGAATTCCTTTAACTAACCTTATCTAGTGACATTTGGGGATGTCAGATAAATTTCTTGACTCATTTACTTCACGCCTATACGTACCCGAAAATATAAGAATAAGAAGGAAGCTATGGTCTTACCTCAAACCTTCAATTGAAATGTGAACAAAATACACCTCAGTTTGTTGTAAATCAGGTTTTCAACCACTGATGTTACCAGACTTAGTTATCAATTTCTTGGAGAAATTGAAATATCTCTTCAGATTTTCAACAGGAATTCAAAATAGGAGAATCAACATCGAAAAGGGGTTTCGTCAGCATCATTGTTATTTTGTATATTTTCATAATTTGGAACAACTTTTCAACAGAAATTCAAATCAGGGAAATAAACATCAAAAACGAGCTGTCAGCATCATTGTTATTTTGTATATACCCATAATTTGATAACCTTCAATTATTATGCATATTCATGTTTCGTCCAATTTCCATTTCATTAAGTGTTCGGTATTGAATTTCAAGAAATAATCGAATTTCCACTCATACTATATGTTGAATAGACACTTTATATACAGGCACCATTGCTAACAAGTATGATGCTAGAGAGAAATTTTCCGAAAGATCAGATTAATCGGTAAATCTTGCAACGCTGTTCTGGCGTGAAACTACCGCATTTTTAGCTGTGCTTAGCATGGCTTTCCTAAGTAGTACGTCATGAAAATGGTGGAGGAGCCGAAACTACATCTTCACGAATTATTTCTGAACTCAAATCTAATCGCACGACAAAAATAAAAAATACAGGGTATATGTCACGACGAGCTTACACTATCTCTATATCAAGAATCAGTAGGGAGGAATCCATGAAAATATGCATGCTAATATTTAAGAATACGCTCTCTTCATTTGAAATATTTTCAGCAATGCAGTGTTGCCGCTACTATCAAAAAGTGGCAACAACTTTGTTATTTCAAATAGAATACCCTGTATTTTATTGCATTTTTAAATACTCCCTGAAGAGTTGAGACAAATGTCTCTATCTCATCTTTCGATTTACTATTAACTGATATTCAATCGGAACAGATACAGGGTGATCAGAATTCTGAATCTTGAACAACCCTGTATTTGTTCATTAAATATCAGTAAATAGTGGATCAAAAGTTGAGATAGGAACATGTGAGCCGTGTTGACCGATAAGGAATTGTTTCGACACAAAAGAATCCTGAAGTTGAAAAAATCTCGAATTTGAACACCCCATATCTCTGTAATGATTCTTGATAAACCCCAAGTGTGATATATCGATGGAATCAGCTCTTCAGGTAGAATCTAAAAATGCGATAAAATACAGAGTAATCTATTTGAAATATCGATGTTGCAACTGCTTTCTAGTAGGAGCGGCAACACTGCATTGTCGAAAATATCTCAAATGAAGAGAGTGTATTCTGAAATATGAGCATGCACATTTTCATGGATTTCTCTTGACTGATTCTCGATATAGAGATAGTGTGAGCTCGTCGTGACATACCCTGTACATGTTCAATAAATTATCATAAACTATACAAAGGGATGAAAATTTCAATATTGGAAATTTTCTCCTTCTCGATGATTTGATGATCACAATAAGCCCTTTGTTTTTCATTCCAGAAAATCAGACAACAACCGGTCGACGATTGGGCAGTCCTGGAGCGTTTGGTTACTCTCGACATCAACCTGGTCAAGAAGATCCTGTCGCTTATCAACGTGCCCGAGGAAGAAGTGCGCAGGCCCGATGTCCCCTCCCTCGACCTGTTGCGCAAGCTGCCCAAGCTGGTGGCCGTCAGGTTCTCCCCCATCTCCTACTTGCTCAGGGAGGATCCCACAGAGGAGGTTATCGGGTTCTTGCTGTCGCTCATCAATTCGCCTAGGCAGCTGCTTCCTCCGTTCCCACGTGAGTACACCTAAGTTAATTGACGTTGCGTAGGTATGGGAGAGACTATAGGTTCAGACGGGATTTATAGATTCAAGCACAGCCGCTGCCGCTGAGGTTGCAACCGCCGTAGCAGTTCTGGAAAAATGAATCAATTCATACTCCATTCCTGGAACCAACTGTTTTTCATTATCAATATATTTTTTTGTTATTTCAATCTTCCTAATTGTATAGATGGGAAGAACTCTCTACCAAATGTAGGAATACTCCTATATCAATGTTCTCCATTTTCACTTTATTTTCCAACATCCAACAACGGGAAACCGTTAACTATATGTCCTTCGGCGGGCCCCACTGGGGACGTGGCCCTTTTCTCGTGCCCCGTGACCTAATGGTAAAGACGGTACTGGATTCCTGGGCTTTCCTGATTTTGATGAGCTCAATGCTAAAGGATTTCTCCATAGGAAAGAGGTGTAGTTTTCTCTGTGCCATCTGGTGGTGGAAATTTGGAAGTGTGTACAGTAGGTTCGCCGAATGTGAAACATGCCACACTGTTTCACCACTAACCACACTGTTTCACCACTAACCACACATATAGTTTCTTGTAAGTCAGCATCTTCAGGAGAAAACTACTTACAATGTCAACTATTTCTATACTTTCTTTATTTATGCACCTAACTGCCTAAAAGTATAGATTTGATCGAATAATTTCAATTTTTGATGTATGTGTTATGATTGTAGTTCAATTCGTTTCGCGTCACTTGCTTCCTATCATATTTCAAATGTGCAAGATGTTCCTTTTGAACGTAGTTCCGATGAGTCCTCTAGTTTGGCAAACATATGTCTTTCTGCAAACGCTGCAACTAATTTGGTTTATACCTTTATTCCTTATAACAAACGTTTAAATCGGGATATTCGCCAGTGTAGAGTGCTCTACAAAAATATGCATGTAGAATTACGGTCAAATAAGTTTCTCAATTTCGAAATAAATAATCACATATAGGTTATATAAACATGAAATAATCCCGAAAACTCCCGAGAAATGATCGGAATCTGCTTGAAACAATAATCATGAGTCATATACTGACAGTGCTAAATTGGTTTGTTGATCACTCTCAGAAATGTTCTGAAGTTGGACACCAGAGGCCGCTCACTTCGTGATTTTCGCGAATTGGATTACCTCTAATCTAGTGCAACTGATGAGTTTCAACAAGCCGAAACAGTATGTCTTACTTCAGCCAACGATGGATGCTTAAAATTCTTCCTGATTCTTCTAATTTCAAATATTTCAATCAGTCAATTTCTTTTTTTCAGTGTTCGGTATGGTCATCCAAGGACGCCACATCTTCACCTACGACGGCAAGTACCTCACCTTCCCCGGTAACTGCAAGTACCTACTGGCCAGAGACGCTGTTAACGGCAACTTTACCCTTGTCGGCACCTACGCCAACGGACAGCTTAGCGCCATCACTTTGGCCGACAAAGAGAACTCCATCACGTTGAAGAACAACGGACAAGTCACCCTGAACAACGGTGAGTTTTGTGGTTGCCATTAGGCACTTTCTATTTTACTGTGGAAAACACCGGAGCAACTCCAGATCAAGAAAAATAGGCAGGAACGCGTTCTTTTTGGTTAGTGCTTGAAGCCCCTGTGCTTGACACAGCTACACCGGTCGTGTTCCGATATTCCTGACATTACTGGCCACAGTAAAGCACCCTAATAGCACCCTAAAGTCACATGAAAGTCCATGGGACGTATCGCCGGGATCTTTGGGGCGAAACATAGGACCCGCGTTCTTGGTACCGCGGACATCCATAGTACGTCCGTGGAATGTAGAAATGTCCCGACTTCTCACCGGAAAAGGATATCCCTCAAGGATAAACATTAGACCTCTTCAGGAAATCATCCAATATACGTCCTTTCAGAAAGTTCATTAAACATTATGTTTTTGTAGCAAGGTCATGCATAGGACATCCAACGAAATGTCGTCTGGAATGTTCATAGGATGTCCCTGGACGTACGAATCAATCTTGACTTGACATTCTGAGAACGTCTCTGGGAAGTTCATAAGACGTTGTACTTATGACATCTCATGAAATGATATTCCCTGAAGAATTTTCTCGTACGCCTATATATAACTTAAATGCACATATGTATTATCCATATGGGTTCCTTCCGAAGTTATAACAGTTCATATACCAATTTGGACACATGACTTATGTCTCTAAGGGACATTTCGGATGTTATACGATCCTGGAAATATTAAGGGCCTCCGTACAAAGATATTTGAAGAAATGTACCGTCTGGGATATTTCATGGTTGTTCTAGAAGGGATATTTTATAGGAACTGGAGTTATTCCAGAAAGTGAAGTACTTGGGACATCCGATGGATGTTCCTAAAGGAACTTTCAAGATTATGTACCGTCAGGGACATACTAAGGACGTCCTTGTATGGACAGTCTACTATATGTATCACGTGTGGAACATCTGAAGGATGCTATTTTAACGACATATGAAATGATGTACCAGATCGGAAATTGCATGAGACGTACGGAATGGGACGTCCTAAGGACAACTATTTTAGGTCTTGGACATTCGGACTTAAATTGTACCAAAGGACGTCCCTAGGTGGTTGCGTGCTATTGGGACAGGAACACGACTTAACGGTAGTTTTCAACTCATTTCGGAACGATTTTGGCAGAAATGGTACACTGACAGCAAAACATAACCAAACCTATGATCTTTCAATTTCCGATGTTTTGATGCAATTTTGAAGCAATTTTTACCAATGTCAATATTATTTTTTTGTTGCAGTCGCCAGCGACCTACCAGCTCGCACACCCTCTCTCTCCGCCTACCGCGACTACGAGATGATCAAGATTAAATCGGATGCGGGCGTGAAAATCGAATGCACCCCATCCCTTTCGGCATGCGGCGTCTACGTTTCCGGGTTCTACCACTCGCAGGTCAAGGTACGCATCATACCCCACCCTGTATATAAGAGCTTTGATTTAAACTTACCGCCATTGCCCAAATCGATCTGATTGGTCTATAGGAATCGCCTATGCATATGTTGATAAATGTTTTTCCACTGTAACTTGATATAACCGTCTAGATTTCCGGTTACTCCAAACCTTTAGTCAACTCCGACCCTGAAATCTAAGCCCCCAAACTCCCCACCACACAAGGTCTTCTCGACAGAGGCAAGATCGCTCCCACCGAAGCTGAATGCGCCAACTCGTACAAGATCGGCACCTGTCAGCCCGTGTCTATCCCCACCACCAACGAAGCTAGTCCCGCGTGCAACAACATTCGAAAATTTGTTTCCACTGCAACTTAACCGTTTAGATTTTCGGTTACCTAGCCTAGAAACTCATTAGTGATTGGATCTTTCTTTTATTTGATTCAGACCAGAGAAGAGTCCCTTCAGTCTCCATATCTATCGAGAAATGAAATAAAAACGGTATCAACGTTTGTTGCGAACATCCCTTCTCTCCTAAACAAGTCTGAGAAGTTAACCCACGACAGAAAATATAATCCTCAGCATCTCCACCACAAAGGGGCTCTTCGGCAGAGGCAACAACAAGCCAGCCCCGCGTGCAACAACAACATTACTTTAGAATCTGTTTCCACTGTAACTTAATCGTTACACGATTCCTGGTTACCCCGCCTAGACCCTCATCAAGGATAGAGTCTTCATTTAATTTGATTCAGGCCAGAGAAGAGCCTCTTTTATCTTCATATCTATCGTGAAACGAAATTAAAAACGGTATTGACATTTTTGGCAAACATCCCTTCTGTTCAGAAAGTCCCGCGTGCAGCAACAACATCATTTTCAAATTTGTTTCTATTGTAACTCGACCATTTAAATTCCTGGTCCCCTAGCCTAGAACCTTATTAGTGATTGAGTATTTTTTTTTTTCATCTGATTCGGACCAGAGGGGAGTCCCTTTACCCTCCATATTCATCATGAAACCAAATAGAAAACGGTGAGGATGTACAAAATCGGCATCTGCCAACTTCTCGCTATTCCCACCACCGATGAAGCCAGCCCCGCATGCAACCACAGCGTGCAACATCATTTCAAAATTTGTTTACACTGTAACTCGAGCGTCTAGATTTCCGGTTACTCACCCCATACACTTATTAGTGATTGGGCCCTTCTTTCCTTTGATTTAGACCGGAGAAAAGTCCCTTTTATCTCCATATCTATCATGAAGCGAAATTAAAAACGGTATTGACGTTTGATGCAAACATTTATTCTGCCCCAAATAATTCTGAGAAGTCAATCACGACAAAAAACTGAATCATCAACCTCTTCACCACACAGGGTCTCCTCGGCAGAGGCAACAACGAGCCCTTCGACGACCTGACCGCTGCCAACGGCAAAATCGCCGCGACCGAAGCCGAATTCGCCAACTCGTACAAGATCGGCAACTGCCAACCCGTCGCTATCCCCACCACCGACGACGCCAGCCCCGCGTGCAACAAGCTGTTCGGCTGGGACTCGAACATGGCCTACTGCTACCCGTTCGTCGACAACGCCCTCTACAAGCTGGCGTGCGCGCGCGGCATTGCCGCAGACGTGCCCAGGACGGAGCAGGCCGTTGCGTCAGCGTACGTTGGAGCTTGCAGAGAGCATGGAATACCGATCAGCGTGCCTTCAACTTTGGGTGAGTATTTTTTTATACACACGGTAATTCTGAAATTGGAGAGATCCTTGAAATGTAGTGTACGATCCATAATAACACAATAAATTGCAGAAAAATGTTTTGGAGCAGTTCAAAGTATCAACAAATATTGACGCAAATATGACGCTTGACGCGTTAGCTACATTGGATGAAGTCTTATTTTGTCTGTTCCTCGAAATGTACAAAAAATTGATTTCACCCTATGGAAAGAAAAATTGAATTCATAGTTGGTATGATGTCATCATCTTTTTAATGTTCTAATTCATAATTCAACAATGTCCTATTGTGTTCGAAATTGAAGTGAGGAAGTAGGTACCTCGATGATTTTAGGAGGAGAATTCTTATTCTTTTCATTATGGCTTCGTTTTGTCTAATACTTTTATTATTTTCCTTGAATTTCTGTTTTTTTATTTTGGTATTGTGATGCATTCTTCACTTACTGGCCAAAAAAGTTATTTACTTGATCTACAGGGCTAGTTTAACAACTTATTAGTCTTTTCCCAGGATGAAATTTCTTTAAATCATAACTAATCATGCAAACCCCACACTATACCTTCCTGCCCTTGACAATGACGAGTTGGTGGCGGTTTGGTACGACCTCTATAGGGAACTCTATCGCCGCGTTTAAAATTAGGCTAAAATTTCAAAATTCAATATTTTCTTCAAAATTGTATTCTTCCAATTTGTTCAGTTCTTTCGTCTTCTATTACCGGTTTTAAGGATCCCTCCGATTTTAGAAACAGCCTGTGTGTTGCTACTTCGAAGGTGGAAATTATCTCCCCAAAAGTCGAAATTTGTGCGGGATAAGGAAGAGCGGAACAAACAGCTCATAGTGGATTTTGAACCACTCCTAGTGCACCGAAGTGTTCACGGAATCCCGATTTTTCCTCTATTTCTCACTCCTCAGAAAAAAAGTGCGTTCCAAATGTCGCAATTTCGGACCTGAGGCAAAAAACAATTTTTGATCGTTAAAAATTATAATTGCAACATCCTTCCGATTGACAATTAGGACAAGAAGGCAACAGATTTCATTTGAGAATTATAATTGACAGATATAAAGCATACAATTAGTCTAAGATACATCTTGCAATTGGACCCGATCCACGAATAAATCTTGTAACTTGTGACAAATGAATCTCGCAATAACTCAATTACTCCAATCACTCAGTGCACGCAATTCTGCTAAGGAATTATGTTTTCAATCTTTTGCAAATACTCTTGTAAAGAAGTGAAGATAGCTTCGTAGAGTATCAATATATGCCCTCTAATTGAGAGATAACTCTTGCTATTAGACTAATTGCCAGTCTGTCAATTAGCAAAGTTTATCTAGCTATCAGACTATATGCTACATAAATGATATGAAGCTTGTACCCTAATTGTAAGATAAATATTGCACAGACTGATTGCCTCTCAATTATGCTCAAATTGCACATAAAAAAATCTTGCAATTTCCACGATATTATTTGAAGATCTAGATTATAAAAAGTGTTTTTGACATAATATAACAAATTATTAAAACTGGTTTTTGATCTGATCAATAGAATTACGCCTTCTAGCGACCGTTCAAGAAACTTCTCGATATTTATTTTGGTCACTCTCATAATGAATATTTTTCCTACGAGCGTGAGGAAAAGTAACTTTTCCGCATTATTTTTCGTTATAAAAGTTGTACTTCTCCGTATTATTTCACTTTTCCGCGCGATTTCGAAGGAAATACCAGGAGACATGTGATAACTGTTGGCACCAACAGAACGTACACATAACAACAATTGCTATAAACTGACAGTAGCGACAGTCAACAAATAAGCATTTCAGACCAATCTACCTTCCTCCATTCACTAATTCTAACTGTTATATGTTGTCATAGTGAAACGAGTCACTTTCTCAATAACAAATCAATGTGTTTTGTGCTGTTTTCATAGCTGGTCGTGGGAAAAAGTATTTTCCGCCCTTGACGACTTGCCCGAACTCTCCTCCGCGTCGTTCGTGCAACTGTCCTCGCGTGCGACTATTTCCTAAAGTAATTTCCGGCAAACGGCTCCCTACTTAGTAGTATACCCGGTACAAAAAATACATTTCAAAATTATTATTTGTTCTTCAGTGCAATGCTTGAACAACGAGAAACCAGCCAGCGTCGGTGACAAATTCAGCGTGAAAGTCCCAGCCAAATCTGCGGACATAGTCATCCTAGTCGACACCATCAAGTCCAATGAGGTTCTCTATTCAGACCTGGTCAAGCCAATGATCCAGGACTTGGTGAAAACTCTTTCCACCAAAGGAATCAGGTAAGCAATCACCAATCACTGAATCCACAGGCCCAATTCGAAAGGGTGTTTCTTTCAATATTTCCTTCGGATAATCTCAATGTCCTTCACTTCCGATTTGCCGGTTAGTGGTCAAGAGCGCTTTGTTTATAATGGGCGATTGGACTGATACTGAATTATTGGCATTCAATACTCCACTGTGTCGTAAGGAACCTGAATTGATTTTTCTCACTTCTCACGCTTTTTTTTATGTGAATAATGAGTATATGCGTTGTTCGAAATGGGGAAGTCTCCTTATTCCGATGAATTTTCATGAAATAAGTTCGAAACTCTCCAGTTTTATGTCCACGCTGTACAGAATGACGACCGATAAAGTCCAGGTCGTTTTCATTCTCAAATCAAAACAATTTCTAATTTTTGGGGCGGCAACCTCTGTGACGTACATTCTGAATCTAGTCTGAAAATAGCTGATGGTGAATAATATAGCTAACGAATGGGAAACGAATGAAAAAAATGAAAGAAGAAACTGGTTAACAAAATCATACATAACCACAAATGCACTCAGAGCAGGAATGCAGAGGTTAGCTGGCTTCATTCTGACAGGTTATGGTTTGTCATTCATGCATTGAAGTATTTCAAATAGGGCTCGATCCTAAGGGTTTTCAATTTTCATCGAAATAAATACTGTTTTGTGATATCTTCGATTGTGTTGGGAAAAATAGCAATGCCTGATGAGTTTTGTGTACCAAAGTGCCGTGGGATTTATAAGAATTTAGTCCAAAAGTTCATGTTACTTGGAACTAAAATTTTGACAACAATTGTTGAAAATAAATCTGAATACAAAAATGATCATGAATCATTCTGATACACCGAATTCAAAGAATTCGTAGTTTTTTGGCTTGGTTCAGGCCAAAACATTGATTTCTCGGAATCTGATATGGATAAATATACGTGGTGATGACATGCCACACTTAAAAAAATTCAGTAGTAACACGGATCATAATTTCATAATTTATAATGAATAATAATTCGTAGAAGATAATTACACTCAGCAGAGGAAAACTGCTTTGGTGTTTCATTCTCCAGTTAGTTATTCTGTATTTATATATTCTCGTCAATTCGTTAATTTCATACAAATTATGTCTGAATACAAAGAAATATTCTCGAATGTTTAATATGAACATACATTATCAAGAGAAAAACTCAAAGTCGCACTTCAATTTTTTTTTTGATAATGCTACATATTTTCGACTCCTAGGAGACTTCATCAGGCTTGAAGAGTAACAGGAGAAAAACACTAAAATTGAGAGAATGATTCAGTATCTAAGGCATATTCAGCCGTGAATTTTTTTAAAAGACTATTCTTGAATCAGGATTTTTTGAATCCCCAGATAAACATTTATAATAATTGCTTGGCTTGTGAATATAATGAAACGCATATCTAATGGCATGATGTAGCTAATCAAATCAACGAAACCATTTACAAAGTGTTCAACAACGATTGAATGCCACTGGACCGTTTTTATTGCGGCGTCTTTTTTCCACCTATGTTAGAGAGATAAGACTGTATTCTTGGTTATTTGTCACGTGATTTTCAATCATTGTTGAAGTCCCGGTAGTATGGTTTCGTTGATTTGATTTGGTCCATCTTGCCATGGGTATGCGTTTTATTATGGTTAATTTTTGTAAACAGTAGTCAAGCAATTATTGAAAATGTATACCTGAAGGTTCAAAGAACCCACATTCAAATTTGTTCCTAATTTACGGCTGAATATATGCCGTAGATGGGTACTGAACTATATTCTCCAATCTAGTTTTTTTCTCCTCCTACTCAACATGCCTTATGATGACTGCCAGGAGTCGGAACATGTAGCATTGTTAATAAAATATATTTGGAATTGTTAGTTTTTCTATCGATAACCTCATCACCTCCAGTGTGAGCATGGAGCACGGTGATTTTACTCGTGGCAATGTATACAGAAATTATTCCAATGATCAAATTGCAACTACTTGGTTTTCCAAAATTAAATCGCCAAAAAACAGCCAACTGGGCTATAATTTAACTCGCCTTCAGCATCGTAAGGCGCTTGATCGTCTCGAGTCACTATTATTAATTGTAGAACGTAGGCCTTATTGTATCGGTGGAAATAGTTCAATTTCCGGCTCGATTGTGGATTGGATTGGATTTTGCTTGGATTTCAAACATTTTACCTATATTACAAGGTTCTGCCGAGAACAAGCCCTAATGCCACAGTGGTTTGAACTCCACTCGGCTACCTTTTATCATCACAAACTTTGTATGCTTCCAGCGACGTGGAATTCCACCTTATCGTCTACGGCGGCGAGAACCAGTGGCCCAGCCACGTGACCGTCGGCGGCAAGATCAACTTCAAGGGCAAGCTGCCCAACCTGAAGTTCTCCGAGCCGTCCAAAGACCCCCGCCACAATTACTACTCCTTGTACCCGCGGGAGTTCGGCGATTTCAGCGAAACACTCGAGTCTCTGATACACGACCTCCAACTGGCATTAGGGCAGACCTTGGAGGGACAGACCTACTCGGAGGGCTACCAGTATCCGTTCAGAGCGCAAGCTGCCAAGTCTATCATCGCGGTCACCAGCAAGCCTTGCGAAGTCGGAAGATTGTTCGTTGTGAGTACCTCAGAATAAATAACAATAGAAATTCACCTTCGCATTCTCAAAATGTCGCCAACAGCCTCAAGAAGAAGCCCTCTTGTCTCCATCATCTTGTATTGTCTGCATAAGAAGTGAATACACACTGCGACCTGAAAGATCTATTGTGCCCCTTTCTTCTGCTATATCGATGAGGATGAGGTCGTTCTCCGGAGCTATATCAATGTCTCTAGTCCTATATCCCTTGGGTTCCGTGGGTCACATATTCTGTAAGTATGTAGATAGAGGTTTCGCCCCCTCTCCCACAGAACCTGCATTCATTTTGCTCTTGAGTCTTTGATACACGATGTCCAACTGCTTGACGTTTGGGCAGACCTTGGAGAGACAGACCTACTTGGTCTTTTCGCGGTCACCAGCAAGCCTTGCGAACTCGGAAGATTGTTCGTTATTGTTAGTGTCTCGGACTGAATAACAATAGAAATATACCTTCGCATCCTTGAAATGTCGCCAACAGCCTCAAGAAGACGTCCTATTGTCTCCATCATCTTGTATTGTTTGCATAAGAAGTGAATACACACTGCGACCTAAAAGATCTGTTGCTATACCGATGAGGTCGTTCTCCGGAGCTATATCAATGTCTCTAGTCCTATATCCCTTGGATTATGTGGGTCACATATTCTGTAAGTATGTGGATAGAGGTTCCTCCTCCTCCCCCACAGAACCTGCATTCATTTTGCCCTTGAGTCTTTGATACACGACGTCCAACTGCTTGACGTTGGGGCAGACCTTGGAGAGACAGACCTACTTGGAGGGCTACCAGTATTTGTTCAGGGCGCAGGCCACCAAGTCTATCTTCGCGGTCACCAGCAAGCCTTGCGAACTCGGAAGATTGTTCGTTATTGTTAGTGTCTCAGACTGAATAACAATAGAAATACACCTTCGCATCCTTGAAATGTCGCCAACAGCCTCAAGAAGACGTCCTATTGTCTCCATCATCTTGTATTGTTTGCATAAGAAGTGAATACACACTGCGACCTAAAAGATCTATTGTGCCCCTTTCTTTTGCTATACCAATGAGGTCGTTCTCCGGAGCTATATCAATGTATCTAGTCCTATATCCCTTGGATTATGTGGGTCACTTATTCTGTAAGTATGTGGATAGAGGTTCCTCTCCTTCTCCCCCACAGAACCTGCATTCATTCTGCCCTTGAGTCTTTGATACACGACGTCCAACTGCTTGACGTTGGGGCAGACCTTGGAGAGACAGACCTACTTGGAGGGCTACCAGTATCTGTTCAGAGCGCAAGCCGCCAAGTCTATCTTCTTGATCATCTTGTGATGTTTGCATAAGAAATGAATTCACACACTCTAATTTTATATCACTTGGGTTCTGTAGGGCAACACATTTGGTGAGTATGTGGATAGAGGTTTCCTTCTCCTTCCCTGAGAACTTGCATTCATTTTACCCTCGAGTCTTTGATACACGACGTTCAAGTGGCTCTGTGGTAGACCTTGTAGAGACAGACCTCTACTTGGAAGGCTACCATCAGTATTTATCATCGCGTTCACCAGCAAGCCTTGCGAAGTTGAAAAATTGTTCGTTGTGAGTACCTCAGACTCTGAATTACAATAAATAGACACCTTAGGCTATGCTGGGTCTCGACTCGCTCAAATCTATATAGCACACAATTGCCTAAGGATATCCTTGAAATATTGCCAATAGCCTCAAGAGAACATCCTATTTTCTTCATCCTCTTGTATTGTAGAAGATCTATTATGCCCCCTTCTCTTGCTATATTCAATGAGGTTTCCTCGTCTATTCCACGGAACCTCTATCCGTCTTCCTCTTTCAATACGAGCTCCTTTAGATGCCCTTCCAGCCGGAAGTGCCCTGTTAGGACATTTGCCCAGTATTATCTTAGCTTGTCTGAGACCTTGAAGAATTTTCCAGATGTCGTGTTATGTCTGTTTAGCTTTTTTCTCATTTCTTTTGATATAGTTCTGCTGCTGATTCCGCAGGAGGGGTCTGTTCCCACGAAGGGTTCTAGATCTCCTTTCCTAGCAAGTTTGTCCACTACTTCATTTCCTTCCACTTCGGAAATGTCCCGGAACTCATAGACTGTATTCCTATTGTCTAGCTTGTTCACTTTTTTTCGGTATCCCAAACTTGACAATCGATCATGATGATGATATCTCGACTTTCATAGATTTTTCTCTCTTTTTTAGTTTTCAGGATCAACTGTACATATTGAGCATCCGCCTAGCATGCTTGGGAATTCGCCAAGTCTTTCGAAGTAGGTACTTGGTACGAAACCCGTAAACTCATCTTCGGTTTTGGAGCCATCACTTCATGGTTCCTACTTTGAGCTCAGTACTCATGGATTCACTGTTCCATCCTTTTACTTGTACTTGCTGTACTTTTTCTTCATCTCATCCTGAGGCACATTCTGGATTTGCTGCTTGAGTGGCCAAATCGGCTTGCCTTTGATCACTCCTTTAATCATTCTGTATGTCGTTTATATGTCGCATTCTCCACCTAAATCCACCAAATTTCCGCTTATAATGGTCTGAATAAGATGTTTTGAGGATAGCCTGGGTATATTCCTATATAAAAACCTCATCCTAGAGACGTCCAACAGATAATGTGTGTAAAATACGCTAACATTAAACGAAGGGGACAATATATCTGCATCGCTCAGCTCAGAGAGACCAAGATCGTTACTGCACATATCAGCATTTCACACTTGAATAAGGAGGGAATTTTTGAAATTATATAGCTGTCTTAACTTCACTGAAAAATCGAAAACATGTAGATTCTATGGATCAATAATAAGATCATGAGGAGAGAGGTAGTTATTGATCTGATTTTCGAAAGATTATTGCAAACTTCATGTCACGGTTTAGGTGATTCAAATGACAAATGAAAGCATTGAATAAATCAATTTTTGTTACAGCTCCAAAAACTGAGAACCCTGCTATTCAAGAACAACCAGATCTCCCTACAACTGATCACTCCCTTCGAAACTCTGAAGTTGAAGGAAGCCAAGGCCACCGACGTTATCGGATTCAACGACAGAAGCGTGTTCACCGCAGCTGCCAGCAAAAAGAAGCTAGAAGGCAGCAGCGAACTCTACAAGGACCTTGATTACAACGACTACTGCGTCGATTTCACTATCAAGGTAAAAACAGTTCCACTGATATACAGTATTGGCTGAAATCAGGAGGCGTAATGCGAAGGTCAAAATATCCTCAAACGTCTAATGAACGCGGGGACTCAATCAAACTCATGTTAACGTACATTTTTCGTCACCCTGGACGTCTATTCGACCTAATGAATGACGTCATAATAACGGTAGGATGACGTATGATCATGTCACAGCCCGAAGACGTCATTTTGTAATATTATTCCGACGTGATACTCTGACGTCCATTCGGTCACCCGAGTGAGGCAAATCCAACGTTCAGGAAACGTCAATTCGACGTTCAGGAGACCTATATTCGACGAACGGTTCACCTTAATTCGACGTTATGTAGACGTCATTTTGACGATTTTTTTTCGTGATTGTCGACATCTCATCGACCCAAAGAATAACATTTTTATAATGATTGAATGACAGATCCCTTTCAATATAAAAAAAACACTGTATAAATGAGATACATCTCTGGCAGTTGACAATTGATGACTTCAAGCACTGGTAGTAATGATTCCTATTATGACAGAATAGTGTAGTAGTTATATGTATGTAGTGAATGAAGAAAAATCAGAAAAAACTAGCTGCCCTTATTCAATGCGTAAATGAGGAAAATTAATAAGTTTTTGTTCACCTCGAGAATGAAGATAATATTTATTCCATTCTTGCTATAAATATCCATTGCATCTCATTTAAATATAAATATATTTTATTGAGATTTGAAACGAAATAACATGAATAATCAGCGAGATTATTCATGCGTTATTAAATCTAAGTTATTGAAATAAATAACAGATTAAAAAATAATAATTATAAAACAAAAAGCTCATGAAAAGTACATTATGACATGATGAAATAAATTAGTGAATGACAAATCATTCACTCAAGTTTGATTTTCTCATTGCAAGAGTATATGTTTCTTGACTTTAATTTCGAATTGGTTGATATTTGTGCAACTCTTGATATCATCAGGTAATTTATTGAATCTTGAGATAACTCCGTGATTTCACTTTTTTGACCAAGTGTAGAATTAGCAGCATCAAGATGGAACAAGTCATATGGTCTAGTATGATGTTCATGGATTTGAGAATTCCTTACCAATATGAGAGAGAGAAGTTATCAGATAGTGCTCTTCCAAACAAAATGTATTTGTTTCTTATAAAGTCGATTTGATGGGGTGTCATATGGAAGACGATACAGCACTTTCAATGCTTTTTTATATATAGTACCGATATTTTGTTAAAATTATTCTTGGAACATGAACCCCAAATAATATTTATGAGATATTTCATTTTACTAAGGATGTGAGAGTATAGAACGGTATCTGCTATAAATATTTCTAATAAGTTTTGGACATCTTCTTAGGGCACCAACTATGGGAGACATTTTTTTCTTTGAGCATGCCAATATGCTTGTCTCATGTTAACTTTTCATCAATCCAAATACCAAGGTATTTGGTATAGGCAGTTTGTTTCAATCTTTCAATTTTTATTCCAATATCCAAATCAATATTTTGTTTATATCTTTGATGGAAAGTTATATATTGTGTCTTATTAGAATTAAGGGAAAGAAGATTGGAGTATACCCATTCTTCCATTTTCTCCAAATCCTCATTTATGTTGTTTTCTTAAATTATTACCTATATATCGGCGAAATGCATTTAACATTCTCACTCCACTGACAGCTGTCAACTGTCATTTTCTGTTGTCAAGTTGATCAATTACGGAATCCGATAGATTCCACGTGTGGCTCGGCTAGGCCCAGGGCGTTACCGTGGAAACAACAAGGCCTGAAGGCTCGTAGTGAACAGCTCGTGACGTCAGCTAACTGAGGCCATCCGTTACCGTCAAAACTATTCGACGGTTACGCCCAGGGCCTACTCTAAGAGTATAGGCCCTATGGAGTTTTTTACATACACTATATAAATCTAGTTGAATCATTCGCCCTCATAGATTTCTCCATTTTTTTTGCAGAATCGTGGTAACGTGTTCGTCAGCGACAACTTCATCAACGGAAAACCGGACTTCAGGAAGCAGTTCATCCACGTGGCAGCTCACAACATCGCCGAAGAAATGTTGAAAGTCGAAGAAGGCCTCGACTGCGAATGCAGAATGATCAATCCGTGGGGCGCCAGATCGATTTGCACAGAAGTGTATTCTAAAGAAAGGCCAACAGTGAGTACTATTTATTTATTTTTCTTCAACCTACACAAAAGACGTCCATTATAGTACGAAAACTAGCTCTTGAATTGACGTTTCTATAACTGACACAAACATAGGTATGTTGCTAGGTAACACTATTAGTTTTTAGAAGCTAAAGTTGACCTAGCAACTAAAAAGGATGTACTAGGTCATTAAGAAAAAACAACATTGTTACAGTTGATCATTTGGGTTGCGACGCATACCTAATATGTTTCGATCAGGAAAGCCTTCAAGATTCACTTTCTTGCTCGGTCTGTAGTCCATTTGTTTTTTTTTGGGGATCTGATTGATTGGATGACTTATTTTTGAATAATCACGGCCAGCAATATCTTTCGTCTCACACAACGATACTGTTTATCTTTTTTTGATTACCGAGCCAAACACATTGAGATATGGACTAATATGGAGAGAAATAAATGTTTGCTATTATTATTGTTCATAATGTTGATATGCTCACTAACCTAACATTTACCACTTCTCTACAATTCGAAAATGCTTGAAAATTAAATGAACCTGATCAGTAAATATAGGTAGAATATTATGACCACATTGCATTTGCATACATATGGCATGTGTCCTCGTGTTGAATTATTGTCCCAACTTGTGGAAGACTTTTTAGATAAAACTTCATTTCCCGTTACTTTTATATGTTGAATGGATCAAAACGTAACCATTTGTTGAATAGATTTGACAATTCGAAATTTAGGCGAAAATCACAAGTGTACAAAACAAATCGTAGTAAAATCGCGCTATTCGTTCGCTGTGTGTTTATTTTTGTCGAGATCTTTTTCATAAATATATGTTTCTGTGAGGAATTTTCTCAACTTGCTTTTGGGTGTATGATAAATTGACATTCATCATACAGGGCGTGGAAAGAAATTCTGAATTGAGACCTTATCACGAATCTGCGATTAGAGTTCTATAAAAATCACAAGTTTCCATCGTTCAAGTTTGAACCCCCTGATTGGGCATGAAAGTATTGAAAAGGAATATTCTCAGATAAATTATGAACATACAAAAATGGATATATATTCATATAAAGCAATACATTGAGAATTCGCATTCTCTATGTGATGAGAATATTTACTCTTTTTCAGTTGAAACAATAGAAAACAACTACTTTCCTAGCTATATGCCACGACGAACATTGAATTATATCTATTGAACACACGATAAGAGTTTGAAAATAAAATATAAAATTTTCTCCTTCAGACAAAATATGTACATGCACACATCATTCTGAATATTCAACAGAAAACAACTACTTTCCTGGCTATTTGCCACGTCGAACATTGAATTATATCTGATGAACATTCAAAAGGAGAACATGAAAAATAAAGAATGAAATCCTCCGAAATTGAGAATTTACATTCATCTTCAAATCGGATGAATGATATGATTAATAATGATATAGAAATATGACTTACCAATATATTCAGCATTGAAATGAAAATTGGAATGTATAGGAGAATTTTTTTTTTTGTGATTTTGAATCTCCAAAAATAGATCCACAGCCCCAAGTCACACGACAATAGTAATTGAGAACTGATCAATAGTTATTATTCTAGTCCCTCTGGTTGAGAATGTATCATCACAAATTCAACTTTTTCTCATTTCATGGGAAAAATCACTTTGGCTAATAAATATCACCTTGTTTTTTTTTTCAGAAAAAAGCTCCCGTCAAATCATGAGGCAACAAGGAACTAATGCAATAATTAGTTAAGAAATCTCTTATCCTCAAGACTAAGAAAATAAATTATATATATAGTTATAAATCGATCTATTTTTTACATCAAGGTATTGTTATTTGTATAAATAATTGTATTTAAGTACCGATATTGACGTTGAATAAAAAAAACATTTTTATTAATCCTATTTCCATTTAATTCTGGAAAATATCTTTTTCTCCAGTTTTATAAATTCCAATAAAAGCTTCAAGTTACCCAATAAAACTGGCTTTGAAAGAATGTTGTTGCATTCATTAATTCAAATCGAAGTAAAACTCAGAGATTCATTATTATTATTATTCATTTATTGAATCGAATAAAATCTACATCTTGTCATCGAATATCAATTATATGTATATATATTTCATTATTTTCTAAAAATAATGATGCTGATGGATAATCAAATGATTTACGGAATATTATTTTCAAAACATATTTTTGAATACATAATAAAGGTTCCTGATCCTGAGTTTATCAAAAATATTGATGACGATAATGTTGAATGATTTGGTTTATTGATCTGATTAAGACAAAAATGGTTCAACATGATTGGCAGCAATGATTTCTCAGAAAAATACAGTATGCAATATACAGGATGTCCCTGGAGTTCCTCTTTTCCTCTCGGGAATGTATAGATGGTGTCAAAATATCACCATAACTTCATAATTTTTTTTTTCCTAAAATTCTTCGTTACCAAGTCACGTCCGTTACAGGCCCTTTTTGTTTACGACTATATTTCAGCATATCTGGTTATTATATCTGGTATAAATGTTGTTGAATCAAAGATATTATAACTATTTTTGCTGTGAACATTTTTCAATTCAAATAATGGTGGACGATCGGGTTGGATGTCGTCGAGTAAAAATGTATTTTTATGAAAAATCGTTGCTCTGATCGATTTTCCACTCGAGTACTTTTATTCAGGAAATTGTCCAGGTAACCTAGTTTTGCCAAAAAATATTGAAATATAATTGTCATTTCGAAGTTTTGGAATGTGGACCATCGGGGGTGGTCGGTTCCTGACTTTGTAGCAGAACAATTGACTCCTGCATGAAAGTACATCGAAGGAATCCATTTGTTTAGTCAATCATCTAGATTTGGATGACTTTGAATATTCACATTGAGAGCCATCAAAGACAAACATATTTCATATTGTTACTTCGAGGGCCCATAGCTTGATAACGACGGATTTTATAGTAAAGAAAAGTTATACTGTTTTGAATGAATACAAAAAGCTCAGTCATTTTCACACAATGTACATACATTAAATGAACAACAATGGTAGATTTCGGGAGGAAAACAACTGCTTTCCTGGCTAATGCCACGCAGAACATTGAATTACATCCTCCCGAAATCTATGCATCGACTCGTATAAACGAATACTGATACAAGTGATTCTTTCCGGAATGTCTATTGATTTCGTCTAAGCCAGGCCACGCTAGACAACCACATACCGGTTTCGAGCTCTCTGACTCTCATCAGTGCAGTGTAATCTCCAGCCAGCAGTCCTAAGACCGCCGACTCAGCGAAGCCTAGCCAAACCAAAATCAAGTCGGCATTTTTTGTTTGAACACTGTTGTATCTCCTAAACATGGACTAGTGTAAATTTCAACTTGTGGATTAGAATACTTGTAGTGTGAGCATCAGATGAGTTTCACACTGGTCCATCGGATATTATCTTTCGACACCAAAATATGAAGATTCGGTCCAACATTCCTCATGAAAATGTTGCTGGTTTAGGAGATACAACAGTGTTCAATAATAAGTTTTGACAGCTGAACATAAAATTTGGTAGTTTTATGTTTTTTGACATGAGAAATACGAATTTGTAACTTATTATCTGTGATTGCTCATAAGAGGGTGCTAGTGGCATTCTTTCAACGTCACTGTGCTAACTTTATACTTTGATATATCAAAAGTAGAACATAGATCTCTTCAAGAGCGAATAACGAAAAAGCAGTTAGAGCTAGAAGATTTGAAAGAGGGTATATTTTTTTGTATTGATACATTATAGCAGAGTGCCACTCACAAAGTTATTGGGAAATTTCAAAACGCAATCTTCTCATTAAACACCCTGTATTTCCCAAACTAGCAACATTTTTATGAGTCATGTAGGGCCAAATCTCCATATTTTGATAATTACTATCAGTAATTCAGAGATTTCCCATTCTTAATTAATCACCCTGTATAACAAGAAATCAGTGGCGAATCCGAGGAGGTCTAAATGGGGTAATAATCCCCCCTAAAAAACTTGTCGATATACTGATAGTCACACTGGCGGATCTGAGGGGGGGGCCATGGGGGCCATGGCCCCCCCCAGAGCTCTGAATAAGTAGTTGATATTGGTTCAACAATCAGTCTGGATATGCAACCAAAGCTACGTTATACAAATCAAAATTATTCGTATTCGTAGTTTTCGTATTGAATGGTTCCTCAAACACTAGAACATGCCAAATCAACTCCTTTTTGAATGTCATTCATTATCATATACAAATATTATATAGAAATATTCTTGTATGCAGTGGGAATATGGGAAAACGACACAGGCGGTCAGATCAAAGGGCGGCAAAACAGATAACGATAGAGGAAAAATAATTATTTTCAAGGCCGACAGAATTCAAAAGCGAACTGAAGTTATGGAAGGCGAAGTGGTTAAAAGCCAGCGAAGAAAAACTTCCTGTTCCAGACGATGCTTTAGGAGCCCTTGCTCACTGCGATAAAATAATGTTTCCTTTAATAACATCATTTCTTGAAATTTTCATTACACTTCCGATCAGTGTTGCCTCATCAGAAAGAAGTTTTTATTCGTTGAGGCGGATAAAAAGTTGGCTCAGATCTACTATTTCGGAAGATAGGCTATCTGGTTTAGCTATTATTAACGCTCATCCGGACATTGAGATTAATGAACAATTAGTTATCAACAGATTTGCCAACAATGGCCATAGGCATGTAGATTTTGTTTTATGAACATAATTCAATAAGCTTATGTTTTATGCGTTTAATTATTAAGTTTACTTATCAGTAAAATTGTGGATTTGTGTTTTTGTTTGTTTAGTCACATTTTTATCCATCACATTTATGTTATCCTGGAGTGAGCTCCGACCACCCGAGGTGGTGCTGTAGGTTTTTCCGGATTTTCCTGCAGCTGAAAAGTGAATACTCCACCAAAAATCAGTGAGTGGCCACGGAGCGCCACGGCAAATAAAAGTAATATCCATCCTCTACCCGCATTTCTTTTCTGGAGATTTGAAACACATTACTTTGGTCTTTTCAGATGTTTTTTCTACTCTGCTGTCCCTGAACATTTTCATACCAAAACCATTCCCTGTGCAAAGTTTCACCCTAAACGAAAGTGATGAAGTTAAAACCATGGGCTTTGTGTTATATATATATATATATATATATATATATTCATATACATATCATTCATTATTCATGTGGTTTCAATTACTTTGGTTTCAAAATTCCATTAACTCACGGCCCATGCCCCCCCCTGAAAAACTGCCTAGATCCGCCACTGGATAGTCATCATTTGTGTTATTTCATATGTGTCTTGGAAATTTTGGCATATTTAGTCTACTAGGTGTAGATTTTCCTTGATTATTTGGGATTTTCTCTTCAGTTAGCTAACTGAACATATCCTTACTGAAAATGGACAACATATTATGGCAGAGTGAAATAATATTAAAATCATAGGAAAGGAAGATAACAACCAAAAAAGGAAAATCAAGGAGTCCGCTTGCATTCTTCTGAACGGAGACAATAGCATTGCTTCCTGTTCAGCTGATATAGATAGAACATGGAACATGGTATTCACTAGTGAAAACTGAACATGGAAATGGTAGATTCAATATCGATTGATAAAAACATCCTGTAACTCATTTGTATACTAACATCATCCATCCATCCGTCACCGAGAGGTGTCGAATTATAAGAAAAACATTATCGAAGGAAAATTTTTTGCATTTTCATGTTGAGGACGGGAGCAGATTCGTTCTCGAAACGTCCAAAGATGAATACAAATTCGATATTTTTTTAATATGACGAAATATTGGATTTTTTCTTTCGCCTCCCTGATAATAGAAACGAGGAGAGAAAATCCCAAATAATCAAGTGAAATGGATGTAGCACCTCCTCGATTGACCTACAAACATTATACCGGGTGTTTCATTTGAGACTATCCACCCTCGATATCTCACAGACTTATTATTTTACAAAAAAATTACGAAACAGGTCGATTTTTATATGGAGGGGGACACCTTCTGACGCGAAATAAATAATCCATACTTCAACCCTCTACTCCCCAGAGCAACCCCCTCAATAATTTGAATGGGGAACAGGGGTCGTGTTATACATCATTACGAAGATAATTCAATTCTGACACTAGCAGTGTAAAGTTTTTTGGATTCCAACAAGTCGTTCTTGAGATATTCGAGTTCAAATGGTATGTTTGCCAATTGCGAGTAATTGAATCTACGGAATGAATTATTGAATGGTTATCCACAACAAATATTCAAAATTACCTTCGTTGACTCCCAGACAGTGGTAGAATCTATTTGCAAATCATATTTGAAATGTTTCTCTAGTTATTGCCTGGCATTCAGATCATAGTAGATTCCGTTTTATTACTAATGGATTTCGGATGACCCCAAAGAAAAAAATCATTAGGAGCCATGTCCGGCGAGCGTGCTGGCCATTTAAATGGTCCTTCTTGATCTATCTATTTGTTTGGGAAATTTTGGGGTAGCCATTCTCTCACCTGTGATACGGAATGAGGTGACACATAATCTGGTTGAAGATGATTATTATCTGCCCATAGATTTCGATTACCATCATCATAGAGGTCCGTAGAGGATCAATAGAATGGACAGCACGTCTGCCGGACTTGGTACCTAATGATTTCTTTCTATGGGGTCATTTGAAAACGGTAATTCATAAAACAGAACCTACTGATGACCTCGATG